TGGCGGCATCGAAGAGCGCAAGAGAAAGAGCCAGCGAGCCTGGCCGGCCCTGAACCACCAGCTCCTCCATGGCCTCTGCGGCTGCCGAGCCAGCAGCGCACCCCAAGGTGGTGTTTCCAAGTAGATTCTGCGCCAGGGGATCGGCACCCGACGCACACAGCAGTCGAACACCTTCGGCATTGTCTCGAGCGGCCGCTAGGATGACAGCCGGTGAAAACCCACCCGTGAGGTGGGCTCTCGCCTCAAGAAGCAACCGCGCGGCCTTGTGCTGCTTGAAAAACACTGCCAGATCCAATGCCGACATCCAAGGGGGAAAGCCAAGCGACGGCTCATCCTTCCATGTCCGCTGGTTCACGCCGGCACGCTTCTCCAGCAGGCCTCGCAGTACCTCTACGTTGCCGCCAAGTGCCGCGTAGTGAAGAGGCCGCCACCCAGCGCTGTCGGCAGAGCCAATCGTCCTCAGGCCGTTTTGGTGCAGGAACTCCATCACCACGTCATCACCACCCTCACAGCTGGGCAGCAGGCCGGCCACTGGTGCAATCTCAAGCCCCTGGAAGTAAACTGTCTGGAGGTTGAAATGGCGCCGGAACCCGGGCAGGTCACCCACACGCAGGCAGTGGTTCAGCTTCTGCGTGAGGATCTTCCGCATCACCGGGGCCAGCTTTTGCCGATCCTTTGCGACACCGAAGTCTCCTTCCCCAACACATCCACTCGGAAAGGACAAGAGTGTGCCAACCGCTTCAATGGAGGTCTCGCTCCGAACCAGAATCCAAGTTTTGTTTGGTGACAGCTCACGTGCTGCTCGTTCGAGGCGACACCAGCCCCTGCTGCTCCAGGTCGCGGGTGATAGCACCCTGCCCTCGACGGGGCAGTCGAGAACCGGACAAAGCGCAAGGAAAAAGTCGCACTTGGCTACGTATGCTGGGATGCTGCTGATGGCATCGGCTTGCTGGAGGCGGCTGTTTGTTTTTTGTACGACAACTTCATTCGCATGGGTCAGCTGCGGACATGAGAAATAATCGTACCAGAAGAACAGTGCCTTGGTCTGAAAATCTCTCATGGGACGGGGCTTGGCCGTTGGCACTACGGCTTCCGTAGCGGGGTCCAAGGAAATAGACCCGGAGCTGGTCAGCATCCGCTTTACAGCATCCTGAAGAATGCGCATCTGCCTGAACTCGGGATCCGGGTGTGTCTTCGTTAGCCACTGGTGCGAAACGAAAGCCGCTCTCCCCAAGAAGTCGCTAAAGTCCACGAGCTTGCCACAGGCCTGGCAGCAGGATGGGTGAGGCGCCAAACAGGTCTGACTGTCCGACGTGGACACTCTGTTCGTGAGTTCGAGCCAGGCTCAGAAGGCCTTCACTTCTCACACAGCATTCTGCAAGTTACTCATCGCGGGGTTCCCACGTGCTACGAACGACATGCAGCCAACACCAAGCAACACATGCTCCCTGACGAAACTCTATTCAACTCTCAACTCCCAGTTTGGCTCCGGCCTTCAGATCCTCGTGCGGCTCGACCTTCGTCATCTTGAGCAGCACGTCTGCGGCGACGGTGTACATGGGGAAGAGCATCGGAGCAGCCTGAGCCACGCGATCTGTCATGATGCACTTCGCCACAAGCACGGGCATCATGAGTATCAGCTGCAGGCCAGCCCCAGCATCGGAGCATCTGGCACTCCTTTCCCCCTTCCCTCCGTTTTGCTTCCGCCCACGGTGGCAACGCCTCCCCGAACTGAAATCCGGGCCTGCCCTGATCAGCAAGGCTGGGTCGAAGCGTGGAAGAAGCTTTCGTGATAACGATAAGACATCCCTCGCAGAGATCCGGCAAGAAAGAGAAACGCAAAAATCGAACTTCGGCAGCACTGCTCAGAGAGCGTCTTTAGGAAACTTGGAAGTCGTTTTATCTCATCCCGTGGTAACAGCCCCAACACTAGAAAGTCATTGCAATACGGAAGCCACACACAAAAAACTGCTGGCTTGGGCAGGTGTTGAGTCGGAACGCAAGTCAAGAGAACGTTTCCTTGTCAAAAGTCTTCGAGCATGGATACGATGCCCAGTGGCGTCTGCGTCGTCAGGTAGCGACCGGGCATAGACCTCCAAAGGCGTCCGGGACTTCCCGGAGACGCAGCCATGGCATGCGAGGGGCATTGTTGGAGGAAGCTGCCAGGTCATGCTGCAAACTTGTAACCTCTAACTCTAGACGCTCAGCTCAATCGTCAGGCGACTTAGAGTAGCAAGCAGGTTCGTCACAGCACAATTTGGGACTAGTCCATTTAGAAGATCTCTAACTCCAACTGAAACCTCCTTGCTGTGTTCCTGAGCCTCCAAGTAGACAATTTCAAGCTTATCTGGCAAATTACAGGGTTTAGGGAAAGTTTAGGGTTCGGAGTCGAGGGTTTCGGGGTTTTGGGTTGAGGGTTCGAGAGTTCGGGGTTTGTACAGGGTTTTGCGGTTTACATTTGGGGGCAGGGTTTAAGGCTTCAAGGCTTGAGGCTGTAGGGTTGAGGGTGTCCGTTCAAGGTTTGGGGGGCCAGCCGGGCACATAATGAGCGTGGTTAAGCAATGATTATCCATCATAACGTCGGCGTCACGTTGCCTTCGAGCGCAACAAAGTCCGTCGGAAACTTCTTGGTGCGTGAGAGGCTGGTGCACGAGGCGTTCGTGGAGGCCGTCGCTCGTGCTCATGAACAATGATGGGCGTGGGCATGCGTGGGCCAGGAGGCCAGCTTGCGACTGGAAGAGGACGACGGCTGGTCGCTCAGGGGGTGATGCTTGGTGGTACTATGACGACGGCTACGTCTCCGTGGAGCCAGAAGGCGGCGCAGACGCAGCTCCTGACACTGATTCGATGGACGTCGTGATTTTGCTGCAGCTGGACAGGCGGAGAAGCGGGATCTTGTTAATGACCCGCAACAGCTTGGAGTACGAGGTCATAGCTTGGGACCAACTAGGACACCGCCAGGCTACTGGCTGGTCGGAGCCACTCGGCGTACCCCGTGCGTCTCGAGCAGGAGACTACATCGGTTATCACACACGACACCTAGCATGATCAGTGGTGGAGCACGAACTGCGACGACGAATTTCAGGCGAACGCCATCTAGCCGAGTCTAGCCCGAGCCGGTTGACGAAGAGAAGTTGAAAGAAGCTTAGCAGGCGGAAAACGGCAGCGGAAGCCCTGAAACGGGGCCGGGGCTTTGGAGAAGAAGGCCTTAGAGAGCCACCCTGTGGTCTAGGTGAAGAAATGAAAGATGCGCCACCTCACGAGCGACCTCTTTTTCCTTCGAGCCAAGGCCAAGGTGGACTCCTTCATGAAGAGTGAGGCCGTCTCATCCAAGGAAATCAAGGAGGCTTACACCATAAGTTCTCCCTTGGAAGAGCAAGCTGAGGCCGAGCGGGACGCCCGAGAAACCCGAACATGACGCTCCATGGCAAGCAGGGCAAGCGCAAGCCCGAGGCAGGCATCGTTTTGCTGCTGAGTTTTTGGATGCCTGCGCGGTCGATGTTGGGCCGCCACCTCTTGTAACTACCTCATGTCAAAACATCGGCCATCATTGGAGGGCCGAGAGTTGGCGACAGCCTTCCTGCAACTATACCGACGGAGGCTGAGGCGCTCGAGGAATTGAGATACGGCAGCACAGCGGCCTGGCCACGTGGACCTTGGCTGGACTTTCATCTACGAAGTTGTCAGCTCCTGATGCCAGTCCAGTGGGTGCGGGAGCATGGCGGGGTCATCGGATGCAGGCATTGCAGGGTCATGGCCACGTCCACGACTTCCGCCCACGTGAAAACACGTTCATGTATTTTAGTTCATTCACCTCACTACCTCCTCATAGTAAAAAGGGTCTTGAGGAAGAAGCCGAAGAAAAACTGTAGATGAGCTTGCGAATGGTGAACAAGGCTGTGGAACAAGAGTTCCTGGGCCGTTCGCTCCCTCACAAATTCAGTCAGTATTGTGTGATTGGGGTCCCGAGGGTAGGTTATTTAATTATAGTATTGCCCTGCAAGCTTCACGGGCTCATGTCGCAACTCTGGAAATCTCGGAATCTCTCTCGTGACCCTCACCAATGCCAAACTGTCAATCACACTATGGCCTTGCAACAACCAGCATGGGTTCCCTCCACTGAGCACAGGACGGTCACCCCGCACAAGCCCTTCTTTCTCTCTGAGCGGCTGAATTCCAGCGAGGGCTTGTCAGAAGCAAATCGAAGGCTAACGGCTAGAATCAGAAACACGCACCTTGGCATGCCGTCCCAAAAGTACATATTTGGGGGCCCCGCTTAGCTGAAAAGCTTTCCCGAACATGGTGCAATGGTGCGGTCCTTCTTCCTCCGAGGAAAAGTCACGGGCTGCATCCTGATTGCAATCAAATGCTGGAAGACAAAGACGATCTCCGCACAGTTCGTCCTAACACGTGATCTGATCTAAGGATGTTGCCCACTGACGATTGCGAAATGTGTGCAGGGCAAGATGTGGCTGCTGGCCACAGGCACAAAATCTTTCGGGCACAATAGCTACAATATGACTGCAGACATTGGCAAACGACACGGTCAAGCCGAGTGTCCTGCACTAATCACCCAAGAATTATTGAAGCTCTGAGGCCCCGAAGGCCTTGTCCCAGGAAGGGTATTCGGCACACCGGAGCACTGTCGGCGCTTTGCAAAGATTTTCCAAACCATTTCTGAGATTAGCAGCATCGCGGCGCGAAGGCAGGCTCTAAACCTGGAACACACATCACGAACCACCAAGTATCGATCTCCATATGCCGCCATGCTGGCATGGATTTGAAACGCCTCGAGATTTCGAGGCCTGTGCAAAAAAATCGGCCAGAGAATAAATCATAAGCTTTAGGGTCGCTGGAGAAAAGCACTGGCAGCGCGTGATTGCGTCATGTGCCGTGCATCTTTTGCCTAACTGAGCGACGTGAAAGCATGTGAAAGCATCGTCTGCCCTCCGGGCAGTGCTCTCAGAGCTCTCCTTCTGCGAGGTTGAAGAGGTTGAAGACTACGACAGCATCGCCATCCGAGCTCTGCGGCAACACACCTGCTTCTCCAAGTCTGATGGAGTGGAACTGATGTTCTTCAGGGACTTTTCCAACCTGGACAGCATTGTGAAGAAGCTCCGGCAAGCCAATGAAAGGGGTCTCAAGGATGAAAAGGGGCTTCCTGAAATTAGAGATTTTCCTTACCGAGCGACTCCTCCACGTAGCCGCTATGTGTCTTCAATGCTGGTAGGCCATGGCCATCACTATCACGCTCCATGGATTGGAAGCTAAGCCGCGGTTCCTCAGCATCCGAGTTTCGGTCACTCCCAACTCCCAACAACAACTTGATCAATGGGCAAGGAGCCATGAAGTTGTCTATGGGCTTGAAGTCGTCCTGGTCATCACAATCACAAGCATGCACAACGTAGGAGTCATGCCCCCTGTGGTCGTGTCATGGCTGTTTGACAAATCTGGTCCTTCCCCGGTTTACCTTCCTCCTGTTTCTTCTTCTTGATCTGCTGCTGCTGCTGCGCCAAAATTGCGAAGGAGGCTCCGAAGCTGTGGCCGTCTGCTTCACCTTCAGGACTTCGGACATTTGGGACATGTTGCAGGTTCTGCCTTGGGCGAGAAAGCCTGAGCCTGAATGTGGAGGCGATGGTGTCTTCTCTGACTTTGTGGAACTCACCTCGTGGCTGGTCGCACAACCCATGGGGTCCTTCAGGCTTCAGAAGGTCAATACATCGTGTGAGATCTGAGGGCCCCCCCCCGAGTCCTGGTCTTGCAAGTCAGCCAAACCTGCCAAATCTGCTCTCCACCCTGTTGAGGCTGAGAGCTGGTGAGCCAAAGCCACGGGCGAACGCTGCAACGTTCATTTCGCTAACTTAAGGCGACATGCAGGTGCAGTGAAGTCAGCGAACTCGCGGCACACCTTTTAGCTGGCAGAGACCTCGACGCTCCTAGCCCTGGTCAGTGCAGTGAAACATGGGGACACGTGACGCGTCGCCTGGGGCGAGCGCCCACCGCTTCCCTGTGCCATCAAGACAACTTGCTTATTGCAGGCACCCGCACCAGGTGGATAATTCGTTATCCTCAGATCTCTCCCTTATCTCTGGGTGCTCAGGCGGCTTCAGCAAAGAAGCCCCAGCGGAGTTCGGGGTCCACGGTGTTCGCGTGCCTCGACTCCCTTCCCTCCTTTCCCTTCTCCTTCTCCCTGGGCTCCTTTTGAGTATTCTGTGCCCTTGCCAAGCGGTTCTTGGTCAGCAGAGCCTCCCACAGCTCCTCAAGGCTTCCAAGCCCCCCACCCCCAACCTTCAAGTGGCCATATTTACACAAGCATTACACAAGTAGTACTTAGTACACACCATGCAAAGGAGACGTGACGTAATGACGTAAGACAGCAGCGGGTCTCACTGACGGTCTCACGGCTCCTGCTCCGCCTGCTTGGGCCCCACGTCCTCTAAGATCTTCCGCTGCTTCTCGGCCAAGGCCTTGGCCTCCTCCAACACTCGGCCAGGCGACACGCCCTGCTGCTCGAGCCGCTTCCTCCTCGGAAGCGGTTCAGCTCTCTCTCTCTCTCTCTCTCCCTCTCTCTCTCCCTCTCTCTCTCCCTCTCTCTCTCTCGGCTCTCGGCTCCCAAAAAGGCTACCACTGCCCATGGATCTCCCAGGCCCTTTTCCAAAAAAAGAATGGTCTCAGCTTCAGTCAGGAGATTTTTCAATCGAGAGGCTGCGAGTCGGACTTGGCGAAGGCCTCCTCCAAGGCGGCCGCCTGCTTCAGCTCCTCCTCAAATTGTCACCGTCGAATGCACAAATACACACCATGCGGATTCCAAAGAAGGAAGCAAGTAAAACAACGACACAAAAACAACGCGACATGACGACACAACCTGCGTCTCCTCCCGGAGCGCGTCGCGGCCTTGGAGCTCCAGGCGCTTCCACTCCCTTAGCGAGGCCTCGCGGTGCTCCTCGCGGTGTTGGAGCCGCAGGCGCCGGCGTCGCTCCTCGTGGACCATCTGCCGCCACTCGCGGTAGTCGCGCTCCTTCCTCTCCTCCAACTCCTCGAGCCACTTTCTCTGCTCCTCCAGGCGTCGCTCCTCCAGACTCTGCTTCCACCTAATCTCCAAGCCACGCATCTCCAGCACCAGCTCGATGGAGCGTGCAATCGACGCGGCCACGCGTGGGGTCTGCGCCCGGGCAGAAAGCCGCAAGCACTCTCGCTCCAGGTGCTCCGGGAACTCTCTCGCGTAGTCGTCCTCGGCCTCCATGCCACAGCGCTCGTAGCGCAGCCGATCCACTTCTCTTTGGTGCCTCTGCCTCGTCGCCTCCTCGGCCTCAATCCTCTTGGACCTCGCCTCCTGCTTCCGCTTCTCGAGCAGAGGCTGCCACTCGCTCTCCAACCACAAATCCTGCGCTTCTTTCAGGGCCTTCTCCGCCTTCGCTTTGGCCTCCTGCTCCGCGCGCACCGACGCCGGAATTTCCTCAACAAAGGAAGAAGTCATGAGACGAACCCATTGCAAGTACAAATACCCCTATGTTTGTGGCTTGTGGGAGCACGAAATCTCGCAAATGCCCAGCTGCGGCTGGCCGCGCGGCGGCCTCTCGACGGGCTTTCTCAACGGCAGCCTCTTGAGCAAGGCGTTGGCGCTCCTCTTCCTGGCATGAAATCTCTGTGCCAACCGGTGCTGAAGGGAGGGAGTTCCTCCGACTAAGCTTTGTCACTGAGCAGCGCCTTCTTCTTCCGCACTGCTTTCCTCCAGTTCTTCCTTGGCTTCCACACTTGAGCACTTGAACTTCCCATAGTTTCTCGTCAGTCAGGTCATTCCACATAAGCACGTCTATCTTGACCCTTCTGGGCTGCACCCCAAGTCAGTAGAACCTCCGTAGAACTCCGAAACTTTCCAGCGCCAGGCGTGCAAGCGAGCATCTCAGCCAGCCAAACCTTGTGGTCCTGGTGGCAGGAGGCCCAACGTGCTTGCGAGGCTTCCTGGCAGACCCGTGGGCAGAATGGCTTGAGGCGGCCAGGCTACAAACACACAGATTCACAGAATGCATCAGAACGCCATCGAGAGATATCGAGAGGGCCCCCATGGACAGCGACTCCTGGCGTTGCTTCTCGGCCTCCGCCTTGCGTGCCAAAGCGGCTACCAGCGGATCCTCCTGGCTCGACTCCTGTGGCACGAGCTGAACAAAGCCCATAACAGTCATAACATTGCAAACAAACCATTTTGCCCTCGCATCTCACGAACAGAGACACGAAGCATGTCCATGTCTCATGAAAAACGAAAACAAACACATGACCAAGTTGGAGATCTTGGAAGCATGTTGGTGCGGAGGATTTGTGATGGCTCGGACACCCTGCGCATTCAAGGTTTAGTGCACGAGCAGACACAGCAAACATCACAACCTCTGCAGCATCAAGCCGTTTAAGCCACTTGCGTATTTCTGCTCGGCACAGCCCTCAGACGATAGCACGTGGTAACTCTGAAAGGTCCAGGCAGAACTGATGCAGGCATGTCTTTGTCTCGAGCTGTGAGCTGGGGAAAAAGAAACTTGGTTGCCACCTCTCAAGACGACTCAGGGTCTGCTGAAACTTGCAGTCTAAGTTTTTGTTCCATTTAAGCCACTAACTGCTCCTATGCTGTGTGTTTGGGCCTTCTGGGGAAAGGATTTTTCCTCTTCCTTCTTACCCTTTGGCTCCCAGCCTTGGTGGGTGCCTTCTCAAGCAAGCTCTCCAGAAAGCCAAGGTCGGCTTCGGCCATGGCACAGCTGCGTCTCCAAAAAAAACAGAGATCTGAAAACAGCTGAATAATGCTGAATCTGTGGATGGACTCTGCGAAAACCCATGCAGTGCCGACTGGCTGTTGCAGGCTTGTCCGCGACAACACACCTCATGCCCCAAAAACGAAATGTCACGAGCCGAGCGGCAGCGAAACTCACAAGCCGCTGGACGTTGACCGAAACAGCAACAAAACACTCTGCCTGCGGCTTTGTCTCTGCACAAAATCACAAGAACGCCTGCCTTATTCGCAGCTTTTGCTGCCTTGCAATCCTATCTCTACCGGGCTCTTCATTCCCAACTCGCAGAAAACGGGTGTTTGGGAGCAGTGTATCACGTAATCTTCAAATGACGTCCGCAAGCCGAAGCCCAAAAGTGAAACATCTGAGGATTTGCTCAATTTGCTCAGCCTCCAGTGCTCTTTGGACTATGGGGCCGGCTTCTCAAGACCGTGCTGTACGGGCGTCGCCAACTCTGCCGCTTTGACAGCGAATTCGCGCGGCATCACCTGACATAGCTGGACAACCCTAGATGCGGCAGGGCAGTGGTGGCATGATGCGGGAAGCTCTTCCCCCAGCAAACTTAGCAAGCTGGCTCCTGAAGTGTTCTCTTCTCAGTGAACAGTTGTGCTTCACTCACCTCCTGCTCTTCTGTCTGTGCCCCGATTCCCTGGCTCTGACACTTTGCTCGATGGACTTTCTCTGTTGAAAGACTTTGACAGATGGACGTGCACGCGAATTGTAAAGTCTGTTGTTCTCGCCCCGGTAACTCTATTCAAATATGCACGAATGCAGTGAGCGCACGAAGATTTTACTCCGTGTTCTTCGTTCCTTTCCTAATTTTGCTTGTTGTTCAATTGAGTTCATGCATCAGCCATATCTTCTTCATTGAAACAAGCATTAATGAAGAATCCAGTACAATATTGTTCGTTCACACATTGCGTTAAAATTATAAGGGCGCACAAATAAAGATATTGTAAGGCCCATAAAATAACATTATTAAGGGCTGGAAATGAAGGTTAGCTTCGTGTTGGCAGAATCCTCTCTTGACTTGCAGCCCCAGGCCTGAAGTGTTCCCTTCTCAGGAACTTGACATTCAACACCAGCGCAGACTTGCACTCTGCGACCATGCCCGTGTCCTCTGCAGATTCCAAGGCTGCAGAGACAACAGCAAACTATCACAAGGTGCAATCAAAGGTGAAATCAAAGGCTCCAAGGTGGCACCATTTATGTCCACGATCACATCGTTGACCTGTAATGCAACACACGCTCTCTCAGCTGCCTCTGGCATTCTGGGAGTGCAGCTCAAGCAAGCCTGAATTGGTTGCAGCCCATGTTGCCTCAGGTATGCAGTAATGCCAGTAAGGCAAAACACTCGGCACCTGGTGGTACAGACATTGCGCCACACATCTGCAGCACAGTTGCGCAGCCACCAGATTTGCACGATCCACCGCCCCACCCCGGCGGATGGCCACCACGACCAGGCGGCCCCTTAGAAACTCGACTGTCCAAAAATGGCTCCAAATGCAGAATCCAAAGCACGAGAACAGCCTTCACAAGCCAAGCAACAGCCGGTGCTTCACATCCATGCCGAGTTGATCGAGCTGCTCTTTCTTTCGTATGCAGATCGCATACTGCTTTTGTGTGGATCCCTGGAAGCGCTCCTGAGACTCAGAAAATCTCAGAAACCCAGGAGCTTGGAGCCATTCTTCTGCACGGTTCCGCAGTGTCAGCTTGAAGTGCAGCCGAGCTGCGTCGTTTATCCTCGCTTTAGTCATTGGCTTTACTCGTTTACGTCATGCAGCTGCTGCACGCAAGATAAAAAAGCAGTAACAGAGTCTCTGAGGGATTCTAAGCTCCAGCAAGCAGCGGGCCATCAGTTGCTCCGATCGCATAGGCGGTCACTTCGACGCCTTCGTCTTTCGCGGCACAGCAACACGCGGCCGCAGCCTCGGAGCTCAGGGGCCTTCAGATGGCCTTCAGATGGCCACCTTCAGCACACATTTTGTGCTCAAGATGTCACTGCCATGCGGCATTACCCATCGTTCAAGCTCGCGCACCGTCCCATCCTGCCATTCACACTGCCCTGAGCCCAAATGTAGCTTCCCCGGCAGGTTGCGCGCAAACAGCTGCTTGAATGGCTCTTGCACACAGTGTTGCCCGTATCTCCCGTAGGTTCAGATCATGTTAGAACCTTTTCTCCAGGAAACTCATGGACACTGTCTGGGCAACGACACTTTACCGATCTAACAGCGACTAACATCGACTACACTCTCAGATGGTCAGAGATGGACAGCTTGACTCGCTTGACGCAGACGCCTCTTTGCCTGCGCCTTTGCAGACTTCGCCTGGACCCAGGCCGCTCGCAAGGCGCTCGCAAAGCCGGAAAGGAGCACCTCGTCGGTGGCCAGGATGCCCCGGAGCGCCTTGGAGAGCTCCAGCTGCACTGCGTGTGTGAAGTTCGCGAGGATCGCCTGCTGCGACTGTGTGTGCCGGCCGCCGCGCCAAGCCCCAGAAAACCGTGGGCAGTGATCGTCCTCAGGTCCTGGCATGGAAGAGTTCGGAAGAGCCAAGAACTGAGTGCTAGACACACATTGGAAGCCTTTTCTTCACTCACTCCTGGAGCCGCCAGGCGCACCAGCGCCGCCCGTGGTCTCAAGGCTTGCAGGGCCTCGGCCTTTGCCAAAACCTGGCCAAGCTCTTTGCAAAGCGCGTGGCCAAAGCACATGGCATTCTCGTAGCCGTCCGTGTCGCCCAAGTCACTGGCGTGGAAACACATGGCGCCTAGTCCAACAGTGAGGTGCGACGGAGTGTTCGGCGGATCCTGGCACCCATGAACATCAACATGAAGTGCTTCCAAATCTGGGCCGAACTTGAAGCTCCAGGCTTGTGATGCACGCAGCATCTGTTGAAACCAGCTGTTCGTTTGTAGCTCAGATGTGGCCAGAAAGTTCGGATCACGATTTCGAGGGTCCAGAAGGTGCCCGTTGCGAATGTCCAAGCGGCCGCGCTCCTCGTTCACTCGCTTTGAGAGCCTCCACAGGAGCTCGGTGCGCCGGCGCTCCAGCGCTGACCAGGCCAGGCAGCTGCCCTCGAGGTGCCGCGCGATGCCCGTGGCAATTTCCTAGATCGTGTGCCCAAGTCATTGACCCATTTATCCCCACGTTGCCCCACGTTGCCAACGTTGCCCCGCCTTGCATCCCCACACTTCCCTACACAGGAGCCATCAAATTGCCTTAGTGGCCTTTATCCGCATGCAGCCGCATGCCACAGATGCGAGAGACGCGCGGCATCGCAAAAAAGGCCGAGGCACAACCGTGTGCTTCTCCACGAGGTGCGGCGACTGCCCATCACGTAGCCTGAGAGATGTAGCCCATGAACATGACCATCGAGTGCAGGCACAGAGCACATGCAAGGCGGGACATGTAAGCTTGAAATTTTCCATGTGGTTCAAAGCTGCAATGCCAGGCAGTGCGGCGCTGTCAGAAGCACCGGCCGGGGACCAAAAGAAGCCAACTCGCAGCGGGGCCTTCCACTGCCAGTCCTTACTCTACAGGTGAGCTGTTGATCTGACAGCTGCGAGGTAACTTGCGCCCTTTGCACCGTTTCTGTGGCGTGGCTACTTGAAATTCGTTGGATGGCCAGGACGCATCTCCTCTGCACTGACCAACAGGACTTCCAAGTCTGCCAGGTCCTGATCTCCACTTCGACTGCCCCACTTTACGATGGATTGCTCAGGCAAAAGGGTCGGCTTAAGTTGTTTCCTCCAAGTCATCTTCGTCGAAAAGCTCTTCCCTCAGGTCGGCTACACAGTCGGCTACAAGCTGTCACACATACCACGACCTCGAGCATGAAGCCATGCGACTTACTGCCAGGTCACGCCAGCCCCGACAGTGACTGCCTCCAACGCTCCACGGCTGCATCTGCCTCTCAGACGGACAAAACCCTCACTTCTTCTTGATTTCTGACTCTCTCTCTCTCTCTCTCTGCACGCACGCATGGCCCCTCCGCGAAGAGGGGAGCCCGGGAGCGCAAAGTCCGAGGTCTGATGAAATGAAACATGACACACCCGGTTGGAAGCTACGACTTCAACACCACAGCGACCACCAGGGATCACCCCTGAGTACCTCAGTACGATATTGTGGGTGTAGCCTCGATGGGCTGTCAGAAAGAAGAACATGGTGCCGACTTTGGGCTGGGTGGGAGGTAAAGACATGCAGAAACTGAATGGACCGATGGATGTGGGCTCCCGCCATGTTTAGGACTTTCTGTTTTTTTGTTTTTTATCTCTCTCTTTCTCACACACACAAAACTCTTTAAAAGGCTTCGTCTCACAAGTCGGGCCTCGGGTGGGCGAACATCGTCAGCGGCGACCGCTGGCCTGCCCCAGAGTCGCCAGCACAAGCTTTGCAGCGTTTGCACCAAGGATTTTCGGAGTCTGCACGTGGCCTGACCGTTGGAGTTCTTGGAGGCGTCTCGGGGGGCTCCCAAGCAGCTCCATCGTCTCGTGATCCCTCCTCCTGGGCCCTGCAGTGCGCGGCATGATCCTCGAACCAATCCAGCAGCTGACAGGTCCTCAGAAGGTTTTGGCAAAGTTGCCATGTCTATTTTCGCGCCGCTTAGTGAAGGACTTTAAACGACAAGATGACGTCAACAGAAAGAACTTCTCGAGGCCCAACTAATGAACTGTCTCGTGTCTCGGTTCCATGATACTCTGGATGAATGCTTTCAAGAATGGAGCCCTGAAGGGCTCGCAGGTTCCATGATACTCTGGATGAATGCTTTCAAGAATGGAGCCCTGAAGGGCTCGCAAATGAGCGGGCCTCCTCCGACCTGCTCTCGGGAACACACACACAGAGAAGGAATGGGTTATGGGATGCGAGATGGCCAATCTTGCTCTAGAGGTCACAAAGATGTTGGTCGTATGGCCCTGGGGGCTTTTCCTTCGCCTCTCGGAAGACAAAAGAAGGCTCGGAAAGACTCCAACGAGAGGCTATCGAGAGCTCGGAGCCAAAGGGCCCAAACGGGCTCAATCCGATTCCAGCAGAGCTTCTGGGAGTCAGACTTACGTTACAAAGTTGCCTGTCTCACATGTCTCACTCCTGACCTAGCTCATCGGGTTGTTTGCATCGGGGCAAAAAAGCCTATGCCGAATGGATGAGAAAGTTGCTGAGGTGGCCAGAAGTGTGACTCTGCCGACAAGCCACTCACTGCAGTAGTAGGCAGACCTCGGGAGGACCGTCAAGCCTACAATCCTCCGGGAAGCCTTCACACCCAAGCGGTGAAGAGAAATTTGTGCAAAACAAGCGGCATGCAACCAACACACCCATACGAACCACTAAACTGCTACACCGTTAAGCCAAAGGATTCTGCCCCCCCACCCTTATGAGCATCCATAACCATCCCGACGGACCGCCCTTAATTGGAAAAGAAATTTGGCGGTTTGGTGGTGTGATGGTTTAGCCGTTAAGTCATGGTTTGTACCTGAGAGGCACCCCAAATCAAGGTGTGGCTTCAGCAATTTAGCATGTGTTGACCACGCTTCCTGAGATTCTTTATGAAGGATTGGGTGCAAATTCTCTGGGTTGGAGTTTAGTTTCGTGTGGGAGGGTTCGGCGGGTGAGAGTGGCAAGGGAGTATATGAATCATCGGTTCATGAGGTAAGTAAATGTGGCACTTTCGCCAAGATGGACAACGGTATGTAGCCAACGTCTTTCGTCCGCAGTGTCTGAGGCTCGCACCCACACAGCGAGCAACGGCCACGTGCGGCGCGCCCGCAAACTGCACAAAGCATCCCCGCTGTCCTTGAAACGGATAACGCGCAGGAAGTGGAGCCTCATGGGGCAACCCCGTGCTTGGGAAGTAGTTGCAAACTATGTCCTCTCAGGCGACCAACGCAAGCCACCTTGTCGCAGGAGTCCATTCCCATGAGCCGGCTTCCGTCAAGGGGCGCTGGGGCTCTGGGATTCGTGTGGGATTCGTGTGGACGAGTAGGGAGGGGGGGGGTGGTGGGGGGGGGGGGTGTTGAATTCATCTGCCGTGGTTCGTATCCAAGTGTGAAAGCCGCCATTCTTGCTTTTGTTAACGTGGCTTGTGGTGAACCTTCATTTATTTCAATCCCTCGGCATGCACATGAACTCCAATGAGGCACGCAAAGTTTGAAAAGATCCTGCCCGCCGAAACTTGCACGGCCACCTTTTTACCACCAAAAGAAGGCATCTACAGAGTCAAGTTGAGAAGTATGACTGAGCTTCAGTCTATACAGTGCCAAATGCTAGCGCTAGCGCTGCGATGGGTTTCTGGGCCATCATGTGGCGACCGGCCTGAGTGATACGATTTAAAAAAACCCGTCAACCAGAAGCCCGCGTGGCATCGCCTGAAACCCGCATCTTGGCCGCCAGAGACTTGGAATGCCCATTGGATCTCTTGTACTTCTGGCGGCTGCCAGTGGCACAGCTGGGCGAATCACATGCGACACAAGGGACGACCGCGGATTGCACTGATTACTCCGCCCACTTCTCCAGTCTTTGGAGCCTTCGCCCAGCTGCTAACTTCACTTGTCGACTGCGCGTTGCAGCGCGAAGAAGGCTCGGAGGGCTCAATTTGCCTTTCCTTGGGAATGGCGCGTCCCTCAGAGCGAACACACACAGCATGCTGCCTGGCACCAAGGGGGGGAACGAAGCGTCGACTTGGCTGACGTGGCTTGTTGTACACAGCCGTCCCTGTGTTACGTGTTATGATTACGATGCTCTTCTTTAGCTTTAGCGACTCGTGCCTTTGTTTCCTCCTCAAGAATCGGAAACACCTCGTCCTTCTTGATGACGAGTGAGGAGCCAAACTCTTTCTCCACCTGGTCCTTGTCCATCTCATTGCTCTCGGCTGCCTCTGATCACAGCATCTGGGGGGCAACTTCTGTTTGCTCTGGGTACGGGACCTCCCCAGCTCCAGTCTCGGCATTCCTCGGATCGAGAATGGAGAGAGTACTGCAGTAGCAAGTGGAGAGAGAAAGGGAGAGGGGCAACCGACTGCCGAGCGGCGACAATGTGGGAGAGACCGGGTCGGGCTCAGCTGCCGGAGCCTCGGTAAGGGGGATCGACCCACAAGACTCCGTTTTCGATATCCCCCGAGAAGAGCATCGTCATCCACCTTGGGCTGTGGCCTGGGCCTCTGCGGGCCCTGCCGATACCTTGTGCGCAGTGTACTTGCCTGCGGCATCGGGACTCTGCAAAGCCAGCCACTGGTCCTTGGAACGTTCTGCCGTGCTGTGCTGTACTCCATGGTGCTCCCCAAGATCGCCGTTTTTTGAAACTCATGACGCAGATGTTGCCGCACTGCTGGCAACTTAATATTGAGCCACAGGCACCAGAGTCTCCTTGGCTGTTCAAGCAGCAGTGGTTGTGACAGCTAGCTTCATGCAGAAGCCGCGGTATTGAGCCACGCGACATCACTGGAGGGACATCTGCTAGCTTCATGAGCCACATCCATGCTCAATGAACGGGTTATATTTTTTGGCACCCGACTAGACACGCACGGCGGGGTCGGGTTTTGGGTTGTGACCAGGAGGTGCTTACTGCGCGAAGGCATGTGGCCAAAAAGAACCTGAGACAGTGACAGGCACATGCAGCCCCGAAAGGTTGCCGATTGGTCTCGCAGGTGTTTGGGATGTTGAGGATGTTGTGGCTCGAACGGAGATTCCCCGCAGCGGGCGGCTCAAGCACTCGTCATATCGGCACTAGGGTCGCACAGATTACCACGGCACCCCTCGTGGTTTCCGGAACAATCAGCATAAACACATAAGTTCAGCACAAGGCAATTCATGCAACATGTCACCAAGCCAACACCTACTTCTTCAAACCGAATCATACCTGCAAAACCCTTGTGAGCGAAGCCAAGCAAAACTCCAGAAACCCTCAGCAGAGCGAAAGGGATGCAAAAAGAGGCATGAGGCTGAGTCCGTGCATTAAAGCGTGAGTCACTAGAAGGCTTATTGCCACCAAGGTTCCGTTGGAGCTACCTTCTCTGCCAGAAGCTTTGAAACCGTTTCAGCTCCGATTTTGGTCAGTGGCTGGTGAGCGACGAAAGGTCGCCAGATCGCCTGCGCCTGACGATTCTGAACTCGGGCGCTTGCTGTCAGAATCTGACTTCGTGTCAAAAACCGCTTCGAAGGCGGTCCACCTTTTCAAAGAGATCCAGGGAGAAGCCTTCGTGAAACGAGCGGTCCTCGGCACGACCCCACCCCTGGAATGGCTGCCTAATATGCTCTCAAACTCATATATGTGTGCTCCTCCAAAGGGCCAAGGGGGAGCCAATGGGAGCCAAGGCGCGGCCACGTCGTGCAGCGAGGGCAGCGGGGGCGAACCCCCGCTCTTCGGCCCGCGGCAGTGGGGGAAGAAGCGGAAGGGAAAGGCCTCGCCCTCCCGCACCTCACTTTGAGGCACTTTACTGAGCAGAGAGAGACAGGTAGGTTTGTTTGTATTGATTCAAAAGACATGTCAGAGGTGTGTGCTGGTTCTTCTCTCATATCACCTCTTTGAGCTTTGAAACGATTTCCTCTTCTCTCAAGAAGGAATTCTTGGTCCGCGGACGGAGTGCCTTTGAGATTCTGCCAAGCAACGTTGGGAGCTGTGCCTCCATACTGCTCTTCGAGTTGATGGGGTTCGCACATCAGCCTCATGGACTTTGCCTGGGAAGCTGCGGATTCACCGGGAGCATTGTGCCCTACGACTTGCCGAGGCGCAATGTCGGCATCTGCCACGAAGTCGACCTTCGATTTCTTGTCTTCAGGTATGAGCGAGTTGACAATCGCCCTGACAATTGAAGGCATGTGGAAGATCTTCCTCAGATGCAACTACTGCCTACGCCGCGCAGACAATACAGAGCACGCCAAAGTTCCCAATAGATCAAGGAACTCACTGACAGTCAGTGCCAAGCAACGTTGTGAAATTCCGGCCGCCTTTGGAGCTCGTGAGCAAAAAGGGCATTTCGTGCACATGATCCACAATCACTCGTTAAGGTATAGCAGGCGTGTTTCCAGGCGATCAATTGCCGAGTAACAGTAGACCTCTTCCAGTAGTCGGGTGACATTCCTGTTCAGAAAAGGGAGTGTAGCCAGAACTGTCTTCAACAGGAGCGGCGCGGCGGTGCCTGCAAACGGTCCGGAAGGAAGACGCAGCCGCCATCGACAGGCCACAGCCCGCCAAATCCTGGCAGAGGGTTTTTTTTGATGATGCGCGTCATGTTCGTCGCAACAGCATCTCCCGTATTATTCAGCTTCGAAGTTCGTGATAACATTCGTTCCTCTTTTGGCACCTCTTAGTAAGCTCGCCAGCAGCTCTACAATAAGCACCCAGTTCTCGACTCGCCCTGGGACCATCAGGTACCGCACGGCAAACTCGAGGATAAACAGTATCATCCTGCTCACAGGAAGCTCTCACTAATCACTTGCTCACACTGGCTAGGCTTCGCTTCAACAAGACAAGCAAGCAAATGTGGCGTCCTCGTGGCACGGTCTGCATCAAATTTGGATATCTTCTCCATCCGCCAAATCTTAGACCAGAAGACAGGCAGCATGGCAAGGCTGGAAGTTCTGCCCTTTAAGGCGTTGACGAGCACTGGGCGACAGGATCGATCTCTCCCATGCCAATACATCATGCCGCTTTTCAAATCGGCAAGCACGGATTCCTTCACAGGCGGCATCGGATCACTACCAAATCTGCCAGTCACATCACGCTGTCCCAACGAGGCCCCATGGCAATTCGACACCCCACCTCGTGCACAGGCATTTTCTGCACTCGCATCTCCAAGTGTGTGGCGATAGTGCTGAGGGCCTCAAGGGCGCTACCCTGCTCCATTTACACGGCATGTGCTTTCTACACGAAACGCAGGAACCTGCGCCTGATGCGTAGATGTCTCTATGCATTGTTTGAACACCCTCCTCTTGCTTATCTACACAGGCGTTTAGGGCTACCCTAAACTTCAGTGCTGGCCCTTTTTGGGTCGTCATGCAGCACCATGAGTCAGAACCTAAAGACATAGACAAATCAAAAAATTAGAAATAGATTGGTGTTTCGACCGGCCACGATCCCACATGGAATTAAGGGCATGCCAAATGCATTCTTCGTCGCCCGAAACATGCGTTGGCAACGCTTTCCCGACTGCCCTCGTTCATGAACTCGTCGATTCTCTTTCTTTCTCTGCATAAGAAGGAAGAGCTATAAGGGCCCTAACACGTCTAGCAGCATTTTCGATGTTTTGCAATACTTCCGAAAGCGGCCCAGAGTCAAAAGGAACATGCCTACATGCATTTTTCAGGGCCGGCTGCATGCATTCGCGTAGCTGCTTCTTTGCAAAACCACAATTGACCTGAAAAGACAGGCCGGACACAGAAAACCAAAATGCAAAAGTATTCTCCCCCGTGCGTAAATGCATTCGGCTCTCTTTCTCCCTTATTGATATATGCTCAAGGAAAGAATATCATTGCAAATGTGGAAAACCAAGACCAAAACAAGACCAAATGCATTTTGCAAGCCTCCAAGACTGCAAACGCATTCTTCGCCCGTGCCTAGATGCATTCAGCTCTGCTTCCCTTTCGGAAAATGCTATCAGTATCAGCGCAAGTGTGGAAAGCCGGTCGTCCATGTCTATTGGGCTGTCTGTGTTTCGTTACAGCGTGCAAACCAATCAAAATTCAAATCCAAATACAGAAATAGAGTGGTGTTTTGCGACCAACCACGATCCCACAAGGCATGCCAAATGCATTTTTCGTTGCCCGCGGGATTCATTTGGCAACGGTTTCCCTTCGCGTTGTACGCTGGTGTGCATTGTGCAAGGCGGCTAAAAGCTTCCACAATAGACCTGACCCCGTCTGGCCCCTGATGCAGGTCCCGGATGCAGTGAATAAAATAAATTCGTGTTTCGTTCACACGTTCACTCATTAGTTTCATGCGTCGCTTCACTCCTTATAAACTAATGTGTTCACATTGTTCACTTCGGAATCCTAATATTGGGTCTTTAGGCTAGTTCCCTGGCTTCCGGATTCACCTTTAGGACGTACCATTCATCACTTGGTCTGGAAAGGTCCCAACTTTGAGTCAGAGGACACCAAAATGAAATGCCCAACATATCCCAAGAGTGTTAAGCTGTTGACCAAGATTCGGGCGAAAGGTTTTTGAAAGCCCCAGCATGTTAAACTTGAGGGGCAGATTCCGGACAAAAGCTTTTGACTCTGTAAAGGGGAATGGACCACCTGGGAAAGGCACTGCGCCTGCCGCGAACCCAAGAGTGGACCGCCAACCACGGCAGCTTCAGCCGCGGCGTGGCGCTTTCACCAGCAACAAGGTCTTAGAGCGCAACCCCCGACGGGACTCGTTGCGAAGGGCGTCTTCTTGAGGAGAGGGCCCCAAAACTTGGGCGCTATTTGAGTACGCTCGGTCCCCAAAGAGCACGATGCTAGTTGAAGATGCTCCGTCTTTTCGCACACAAAGACCAACCCCCAAGAGGCCTCTCTGAAACCTTCAAACCTCACGCTGGGCCCTTCAAGCACGTTATGAATGTAGGACTTTCAGGCCTAGCGCGAGCCATTTGGTACGTGTTTCAACGTGTCAAAACGCCATAGATGTTTCCCCGGCGGACTTATTTGCTCGCGCCATGGCGCGAGCTATTTGGTCATCAGGACGCAGTTGGGGTGCTAGTTGCTTGCGATGTCACTGTACGAGCATGAAGGGAAGGGACATGCGACAAACTTCTAGGCCCTCACCAAACCCTACGAGCACAAAGGGAGGGGACATACGACAAACCTCTCAGACTCTGAGAGATATGTTTTGATTCTACAATGTTCTGAAAGCGCGGGCTAGTTGAACACGATCGGTCGCCAAAACTTGGGCGCTATTTGAGTACGCTCGGTCCCAAGAAGCAGGATGCTAGTTGAACACGCTCGGTCCCCAAAGCTTGGGCGCTGTTTGAGTACGCTCGGTCCGCAAAAAGCAGGATGCTAGTTGAACACGCTCGGTCCCCAAAGCTTGGGCGCTATTTGAGTACGCTCGATCCCCAAAAAGCAGGATGCTAGTTGAACACGCTCGGTCCCCAAAGCTTGGGCGCTATTTGAGTACGCTCGGTCCCCAACAAGCAGGATGCTAGTTGAACACGCTCGGTCCCCAAAGCTTGGGCGCTATTTGAGTACGCTCGGTCCCCAAAAAGCAGGACTAGTTGAACACGCTCGGTCCCCAAAGCTTGGGCGTTATTTGAGTACGCTCGGTCCCCAAAAAGCAGGATGCTAGTTGAACACGCTCGGTCCCCAAAGCTTGGGGGCTATTTGAGTACGCTCGGTCCCCAAAAAAAGCAGGATGCTAGTTGAACACGCTCGGTCCCCAAAGCTTGGGCGCTATTTGAGTACGCTCGGTCCCCAAAAAGCAGGACTAGTTGAACACGCTCGGTCCCCAAAGCTTGGGCGTTATTTGAGTACGCTCGGTCCCCAAAAAGCAGGATGCTAGTTGAACACGCTCGGTCCCTAAAGCTTGGGCGCTATTTGAGTACGCTCGGTCCCCAAAAAGCAGGATGCTAGTTGAACACGCTCGGTCCCCAAAGCTTGGGCGCTATTTGAGTACGCTCGGTCCCCAAAAAGCAGGATGCTAGTTGAACACGCTCGGTCCCCAAAGCTTGGGCGCTATTTGAGTACGCTCGGTCCCCAAAAAGCAGGATGCTAGTTGAACACGCTCGGTCCCCAAAGCTTGGGCGCTATTTGAGTACGCTCGGTCCCCAAAAAGCAGGATGCTAGTTGAACACGCTCGGTCCCCAAAGCTTGGGCGCTATTTGAGTACGCTCGGTCCCCAAAAAGCAGGATGCTAGTTGAACACGCTCGGTCCCCAAAGCTTGGGCGCTATTTGAGTACGCTCGGTCCCCAAAAAGCAGGATGCTAGTTGAACACGCTCGGTCCCCAAAGCTTGGGCGCTAGTTTGAGTACGCTCGGTCCCCAAAAAGCAGGATGCTAGTTGAACACGCTCGGTCCCCAAAGCTTGGGCGCTATTTGAGTACGCTCGGTCCCCAAAAAGCAGGATGCTAGTTGAACACGCTCGGTCCCCAAAGCTTGGGCGCTATTTGAGTACGCTCGGTCCCCAAAAAGCAGGATGCTAGTTGAACACGCTCGGTCCCCAAAGCTTGGGCGCTATTTGAGTACGCTCGGTCCCCAAAAAGCAGGATGCTAGTTGAACACGCTCGGTCCCCAAAGCTTGGGCGCTATTTGAGTACGCTCGGTCCCCAAAAAGCAGGATGCTAGTTGAACACGCTCGGTCCCCAAAGCTTGGGCGCTATTTGAGTACGCTCGGTCCCCAAAAAGCAGGATGCTAGTTGAACACGCTCGGTCCCCAAAGCTTGGGCGCTATTTGAGTACGCTCGGTCCCCAAAAAGCAGGATGCTAGTTGAACACGCTCGGTCCCCAAAGCTTGGGCGCTATTGAGTACGCTCGGTCCCCAAAAAGCAGGATGCTAGTTGAACACGCTCGGTCCCCAAAGCTTGGGCGCTATTTGAGCTCGGTCCCCAAAAAGCAGGATGCTAGTTGAACACGCTCGGTCCCCAAAGCTTGGGCGCTATTTGAGTACGCTCGGTCCCCAAAAAGCAGGATGCTAGTTGAACACGCTCGGTCCCCAAAGCTTGGGCGCCATTTGAGCGCGCTCGGTCCCCAAAATGCAGGATGCTAGTTGAACACGCGCGGTCCCCAAAGCTTGGGCGCTATTTGAGTACGCTCGGTCCCCAAAAGGCAGGATGCTAGTTGAACACGCTCGGTCCCCAAAGCTTGGGCGCTATTTGAGTACGCTCGGTCCCCAAAAAGCAGGATGCTAGTTGAACACGCTCGTCCCCAAAGCTTGGGCGCTATTTGAGTACGCTCGGTCCCCAAAAGCAGGATGCTAGTTGAACACGCTCGGTCCCCAAAGCTTGGGCGCTGTTTGAGTACGCTCGGTCGCCAAAAAGCAGGATGATAGTTGAACACGCTCGGTCCCCAAAGCTTGGGCGCTATTTGAGTACGCTCGGTCCCCAAAAAGCAGGATGCTAGTTGAACACGCTCGGTCCCCAAAGCTTGGGCGCTATTTGAGTACGCTCGGTCCCCAAAAAGCAGGATGCTAGTTGAACACGCTCGGTCCCCAAAGCTTGGGCGCTGTTTGAGTACGCTCGGTCCCCAAAAAGCAGGATGCTAGTTGAACACGCTCGGTCCCCAAAGCTTGGGCGCTATGTGAGTATGCCCGGTCCCCAAAAAGCAGGATGCTAGCTGAACACGCTCGGTCCCCAAAGCTTGGGCGCTATTTGAGTAGACTCGGTCCCCAAAAAGCAGGATGCTAGTTGAACACGCTCGGTCCCCAAAGCTTGGGCGCTATTTGAGTACGCTCGGTCCCCAAAACGCAGGATGCTAGTTGAACACGCTCGATCCCCAAAGCTTGGGCGCTGTTTGAGTACGCTCGGTCCCCTTAAAAGCAGGATGCTAGTTGAACACGCTCGGTCCCCAAAGCTTGGGCGCTATTTGAGTACGCTCGGTCCCCAAAAAGCAGGATGCTAGTTGAACACGCTCGGTCCCCAAAGCTTGGGCGCTATTTGAGTACGCTCGGTCCCCAAAAAGCCGGATGCTAGTTCAGTATTTTCGCACACACACACACACAAGGACCAACTCTTTGAAACCTTCATCGCACGCCGGCCCTTCAAGCACGTTATGAATCTCGGACTTTTCAGGCCTAACCTCTAGAAGGCCCTCACCCTACGAACACGAAGGGAGGGGACATGTGACAAACTGTTAAGGCCCTCACCAAACCTACGAGCATGAAGAGAGGGGACATACGACAAACCTCTAAGGGATATGCTTTTACTTCTACAGTGTTCTGAAAGTGCTAACGTCAAGAAAGAACACGGGTTTTTTTGCGCTTGTACAGAACCTTGTCGTAGAGCAAGCAGAGTTTCAACTCTGCAACGGTGATAAAGGTTTTTGGAAACACCACAGGAGCTCTTCCCATAAAGAGATAGACAATAGCTTTCTAAACCACCCTCTTTTAGGGGCATAGGGTTTATGATTTCAGGGCATATTCACAGCCCTTTTAGAGCCACGATTACGTTACCAGCACGGGCTTTTGGGTTTCATCGTAAGCAACTGGCCGCATCTGCGCCCTTATGACCGAATAGCTCGTGCCAGCGCTGCCCCCTCTCCCCCATTGGATGGCAACTTGCCAGGAGAAGTTTGCCACGCGAGTCCGTGCCCGGAATTCTAACGCCCAAAAGCCTGTGTACTGGTGACGTAATCGTGGCCCCACATAACCCATCCCCTAAAAGCTCCGACCGAATAGCTCGCGCCCGGTTGTGGGGCCACGATTACGTTACCAGCGCAGTTGTTTGGGCGGTTCTTGACACGGTCTTTTCGCAACAAACGAGACCACCCTGTTTCTGTGCGAAAAGACCGTGTCAAACACCGCCCAAAAAGACCCTCCGCTGGTAACGTAACCGTGGCTCTATAACCCGGCGCGAGCTATTTGGTCAGAGCGTGTTGCCCTGAAGACGTGTTTCAACGTGTTAAAACACCATAGATGTTTCCCTTGCGACCAAATAGCTCGCGCTATGGCGTGAGCTATTTGGTCATCGGGGCGCAGTTGGGGTGCTAGTTGCTTACGATGTCACCGTACGACAAACTTCTAGGGCTCACCAAACCCTACGATCACAAAGGGAGGGGACATGCGACAAACCTCTAAGACTCTAAGGGCTGCGCTTTTACGTCTACAGTGTTCTGAAAGCGCGGTCCCCAAAACTTGGGTGCTACTTGAGTACGCTCGGTCCTGCAAAGCAGAATGCTAGTTCAACACGCTCAGTCTTTTCGCACACACACACACACACACAATGACCAGCCCCCAAGAGGCCCCTCTGAAACCTTCAAACCTCACAAGCTGGGCCCTTCAAGCACGTTATGAATCTCGGACTTTTCAGGCCTAACCTCTAAGGGCCCTCACCCTACGAGCACGAAGGTAGGGGGCATGCGACAAACTTCTAAGGCCCTCGTCATCAAACCCTACGGCCTTACGAGCACGAAGAGAGGGCACACACGATAAACCTCTAAGGGATATGCTTTTACATAGGGTTGCAACTATATAACGGTTATAACGGTTGTCGGAAACACCAGAGGAGCTCTTCCCATAAAGAGATAAACATTTGCTTAAACCACCCTCTTTGGGCATAGGGGCATATTCACGAGCCTTCTGGAGCCACGATTATGTTACCAGCACAGGTTTTTGGGTTTCATCGTAAACAACTGGCCCCCATCTGCGCCCTGATGACCAAACAGCTCGTGCCAGAGCCCCCCCCTCTCCCCCATGCAATGGCCAACTTGCCAAGAGAGGCTTGCCGTTTTGCTTCTTTCTCAACCTTTGTAGTTCCCAAATACCCGGAAACCAATCTGCGCACGCTTTCTCGATGTTTTCCATGGTCTGCGCATGTGTCTTTCATTGAAAACAAAAAAGGGGGTCCGTTCAAGTCCGCGCCCGGAATTCTAACGCCCAAAAAGCCTGTGTGCTCTGGTGACGTCATCGTGGCCCCACATAACCCATCCCCTAAAATTGGGGGTGGGCGCCATCCAGTTGCTGCTTCTGCTACGGCCCGTTACAGTGAACCGTTACAGCTTCCGTTACAGAATCGGGCAGCGCTCCGTTGCAGCCTTCCGATACGGCTCCGTCACAGCTCCGCGACAAATCCGTTGCAGCTCCGCCCCTTTCCGTTACAGTTTCTGTTATAAGCCCCGTTACCGGCGAGCATTTCTGTCATAGTAGAGGCCCGCAAATGATGGTAGAGCCTCGCCCCAACCCGAAAAGCTCCGACCAAATAGCTCGCGCCGGGTTGTGGAGCACGTTACGAGCACAGGTCTTTTGGCGGTTGTTGACACCGTCTTTTCGCGCAAAAAGAGACCACCAAAACCGCCCAAAAAGACCTGTGCTGGTAACGTCATCGTGGCTCCATAACCCGGCGCGGGCTATTTGGTCAGAGCGCGTTGCCATGAAGACGTGTTTCAACGTGTTAAAACACCATGGATGTTTCCCTTGCGACCAAATAGCTCGCGCTATGGCGTGAGCTATTTGGTCATCGGGGCGCAGTTGGGGTGCTAGTTGCTTACGATGTCACTGGACGAGCACGAAAGGAAGGGACATGCGACAAACTGCTAGGGCCTCACCAAACCCTACGAGCACGAAGAGGGGGGACATACGACAAACCTCTAAGGGATATGCTCTTACAGTGCGCTCCCTACGCTCGGTCCCAAAAAGCAGGATGCTAGTTGAACACACTAGGTCCCCAAAACTTGGGTTCTATTTGAGTCCGCTCAGTCCTGCAAAGCAGGATGCTAGTTGAACACGGCTGCATGCGCTCAATCTCTAAACACACACGAGGACCAACCGCCAAGAACCTTCAAACCTCGATGGTTGGGCCCTTCAAGCACTTTATGAATCTAGGACTGTCAAGCCTAACCTCTAGGGGCCCTCACCCTACGAGCGACATCTAGGGCCCTCACCAAACCCTACGAGCACAAGAGACGTACAACAAACCTCTAAAGGATATGCTTTTGCTTCTACAGTGTTCTGAAAGTGCAAACGTTAGGAAAAACATAGTTTTTTTTTACGCTTGCATAAAACCTTTTTGCAGAGCAAGCAGAGTTGCAACTCCATAACGGTTATAGAGGCTTTTGGAAACACCACAGGAGCTCTTCCCATAAGGAGATGAACATCTGCTTAAACCACCCTCGCATAGGGTTTATCATTTCAAGACCACACGATTCTGGGGAATTGTGAGGTTTTCTGTTGCAAGTTTCAGTTCAACGGAAAAGCCCCCAAAGATCTGGCAAAGGCTTCCTGATTGTCTTTGACTACAAGAAGCCAAGGTCTGGGCCAGAGCACCCCAAGTTGTCGGGCCACGTGTGTTTCGACATGGTTCAGAACTGAAAGAGCTCGTTCTGGCCGGGCACCGTGCTGGGAAAAAACTCCCTTGCAGCCGCTTGAAAGAGCCTAAAAACCGATTTCCACTCCAATAGGACATTAGAAGGATTCGCCCTGGCCCAGCACCAGGGATACACTTGTTCTTCACATAGACCCACTGAAAGGCAAGCACCTTTAAACTTTAGAGAACTTGAGTACGCTCAAAGCTCAACAAAGCAACTACTTTCTGGCCCAAACCTGCATTCCTGAAGAGTTGCACGCTTCCTCCTGCAAACAGCCTGATGTGAATGCCTTCTCATACGGCTTTCCTTCACAGAACCATACCTCAAAAACGTGTGCATGCATGATGTTGGGTTCTCCTGAATATGAGCTTCTCGTCATTGCTCGCTTCCCTAAGATCTTCTCATGGGAACACGATACATCAATGGAAGCAGTGAAGGTTTTCCCCCTGCAGCAGATTCTCCTGACATTGATTTGTCTCTCGAAAAATTACGGATGAAGAAACTGTAAGAAGAGGAAAGGCTGACCGACGAAAAACACAGGAGGTCAGTGACTTCTGCCTCTTCCATTCTCGTCATGAACCTCTTCTCCAATTTCCGCTTCACATGAGACGATAGCGAAACCTACACTGCAGCTTAATAAGCCAACAAGGAGCAAACAACAAACATGGGGGAGGGGAGGCTGGGACCAAAATTGGGACGACCGCTGCTGGTATTGGACTTGCGCCAGCCCTTGGTGGGGGAGGGGAGATGAAGCAAGACCACTCGAGACCGGAGCGAGCGAATGGCCCCGCGTGGAGGGCGGAAAAAGGCGGAAGGGTCAGCCTCCTACGCCTACATGGTGTCGTCCAAGTTCACTTCTACTTCTTCTGTCCAAGTTCGCTCCGGCTCTCTCTCTCTCTCTCTCGCTGGTTTTCCGTCTTCCGTTCCTAGGAGGTGTGGGCTCCACGCTGCTTCTTTTTGTTCCTTTCTTCTCATCCACAATTTCTTCTCTGTGCTCGTGATCGGAATGCATCAGGGGATGCCAAGGTAGACCACTTCAAGCCAAGGTGCTTTGTCCACACGCAACTTGGACTGCCTGAGTCGCAGCCGCATGCAGACGGCGCATGACGCATGCTGGCAGTCCGCCCTCCGCCCTCCGAGTTTGGCCAGGGTGCTGCAATATCCGCAGGGCATGCAATCGTACGTAGGAAGGGATCACGCCGTCACCCTCAGGGGCCAAGGCCTTCAAAGATCAAGCAGAGCCCCCAGGGAGACCCTAAGCTTGCCCACACTGGTCTCGTCTTGGCCTTTTCATCCTTCAGGGCGTCATGCAGGCTTTGGAGCGCTTTCTGCTCGAAGTCTAACAAGGGCACGTTGAGGAAGATTAAGCGGTTTCCTTAGGCTTTACGACCCCCCCACAGATCACAGCAAGCTGTTCAAACGAGGCGCTGAACTGAACTGATCGCTGAGGCTGCTGCCCGTCTTTCCCTCCGGCAGAGGGGCGCCACCGCGATGAATGTCATGGGCTGATGGCTCATACAGCACCTCGCAGAGAAATGACGGCCGAAAGAAACAAACATAAAAGACTTACAATTCAACACAGACATAACACGTCACATACGTAACGCACACACACACACAGAGAGAGAGAGATATATATATATATATGAGTATGTATACGATGCGAATGGAGTACGCGGGCAGGAGCGCGGCCGAGGCGCGACTTCGGGTGGCAGCGTGAACTCGTGCAGGGCTTGCGTCAAGACCTGACGAGTGTCAGCATTTTGCAGCAACGCGAAGCCCCGACGATCAGTGGTGCTGCTAAGATGAAGCCAGAGGGGCTAAGCCACCGATCGCTGGCGCCGCATGCGCCTCTTCAAAGAGCGTAGCCGTGCAGGCCCTGCAAGGACAGGCACACAAGTTGCTTGCGACACCAAACTTGCAGGCTTCTTGCAAGAGCTTGCAATAAGCTTCGAAGAGGCCTCTTCGAGCGGGCCTGTGACGCCAGCGATCCGCAGGGAAACGACACTCATGTGAGCCACTCCAAGCAGGAGATTTCAAGCAGGAAATTTCAAGGCCGGCACGCCATACATAGCCCAAACACCTTCACGCGAAGCCCAGGAGAATGAGACAAAAGCCCTGGCGCACTCTAGGGGACGGGCTTCAGGGCACGCTCAGAATGACTCCGGCCCCACAAGTTATACGTAAGCCAAGAGCAGCCGTCCAATGCAAATCACTCGCAGTCGTCAACGAGCACGATTGCAAATGAAAGCGCAAAAACCTCGCACGATCTCGCACGCCAACTTTTTCGTTCGCCCCGTCACCTTTCCCTTGCTGGGTAATCCAGTGCTGGCAGCTCCTGTCAGGAAATGCCAGAAGGCAAAGAGGAATGTGTGCTCTGCTCGCTGCACTTCTCTCCTGCTGAAGCAGAGAACTCGGCCATCTGCCAGACGAAGGCTCAGATCTCCAGTGGGGCTGAGTTGAAGCGACTCGGACTTCAGATCCTGTGTGCTCTTAACACAAAGATTCAAAAAACTAAGCACACAAGAGAGATTTCATTTAAGCACGCAAGAAAAAGGCACGCTTCAGCAACTTACAAGCAAGCAGCCATCGGCTCGCAGAAGTGGCGAAGCACCGTCTGCACCAACAGCCGCCCGCGAAGATCCACCACTCGTAGGCCACTGTCTTGGCCCAAGACCACCAAGAACCCTCAGAGCTTTGAAACTGCGGAAACTGCCCAAGACAACTGAAGACAACCCTTCAAGAAGAAGGCGTGACTCATGCCTAGATGTCTTGGCCTCGCTCCTGGCAATCTTTGCCCCCCTAGGCCCTAGCAGCATTGGAGTCACAAGCGCTTCAGTTTCCTTAGCTTAAGACCCTGCGAAACAACACCGCAAGCCCATCAGGATGCGTCAACGTTCAAAACACCACGGCACGCGCAAGACATGTTTGCAAGGTTTTGCTTAAGCCTCCACTTCAAGGACCGTCACTGCGCAGGCTGTGGAAACTTGAAAACTTGCAGCATCGACCGGGCGCTGGCTAATGACAAATAGCTGTAGCTCTGCTGTGGGAATGATCCAAGTAAGTCAGGGAGCCTAACACATCCACCTTCCATGCAGACCCATGCGGTGACTGCGAAACCAAAGGCCAAGGTGAAAGCGCGAAGCGAGTGGAAACGGTAACACGCATTGGTGCCGCGGTTGCCCCGCCTCCAGCTCGGATGTCTAGCTGCAAGACCGGGCTGTCGAGGACCTGTCCGGGCCATACTTGATGCAATCAAGCACAGAAGCCACAGAAACCCTCACACTGACTCACACTCTGGTCGCAAGTCCCAACTTGCAACACTGAGTCGCCGTCCATCGGCGGGAACAGCAAGTACCCTCCAACGGTGCTTAGTAAATGCAGGGCAGCTCGCGTAGCAAAAGCAACGAAGCCCTCAGCCACCGCCGTGTGCTCTACACGTCCTCGGATCTTGTACTCCCAGACCAAGTTTCCAAAGCGCCAGGCCCTGACCGTGGTGTTGCGGCCTCTTCGAGGTCGACGGCCTCGGCGGGTCTCAAGAAGTAGTGCCACGCCAGATTCGTTGTCCACCACATGGCGCCGTTCTTGTTGTTCCTGTTTTTTGGCTCGCGGAGGTGAGGCAGAGGGATCCGGACGATCTGGATCCTCCTCAGACATCTCACTGTCGCTCTCGCCACTCTCGCCGCTTTGCTCCATGGCATCCTTCTCGTCCGGCGAGCTGGCATTGGCCTTCGGACCATCGCGCGGGTCAGACATAGGTGAGGAAGCTCGTGTGCTGAGAGGTTGTGCGGTATGCGACAAGCGCACCTTGAACTAAGCAAGTCATACAGCCCTTCGCGAGACATGTCCGCTGCTTGTTGGCTCTCCAACATCAGCTAGTCACATTGTTTCATTTCACTACCAATGCAACTTTGAACCACGGACACTACCAAAGGCAAGCAGAAATTGCAACTGCAACGACTCCCGACTAAGCACAAGCAGCACCGCTGCATTTTCATTTATTCAAGAGCCAATGGGTACGGATTCGCAGCAACATTTAGCCGCTTTGGCATGCATGTGTTCCGCGTAGCCCGCGCAGAGAACATAAGTGTGCTATACCCCCTTGTCTGGCTAATCCATCTATGAAACGGGGCCACCAACAGCAGCGCAAGCATCGACAGTGCAGCTGCACGGAACTGCCTCACTCGACTATGACGCGGTGCACTGTACAGAAGTCATGGTAGCCTGAAAACACGCGCGGGATGATTCGTGGCTGTCCCAGGAGCGAGAGTCAGAGAGCAAAAGAGAGAGAGAGAGAGAGAGGGAGGGAGGGAGAGGGAGGGAGGGTGGCAGACGCACCTGAGAGAATCAGGACCTTGATGTAGGCAGCGGGCTCGACTCCCTTTCATACTTCTTTGCACGTTCGAAATTTGTGTCTCTGGGGTCGTTACTTTTCAAAACAAAACAACCTGCCTGGCAGGGGATCTCTTTCATCTGAAGGCGCCCTGACCTGCGATATCTCGGAATATCTCAATCCAAGCCTTACCCGGACTCTCCAGTGAGGCTGAGGAATCAGCAACTCCTCTAGCTCGTCCTCGGCCAACGTCTTGAAGTTCACGGGGTCGTCCTGCAAACTCTGGATCAGCATCGGTCGGGGATCTTCACATGACATTGAGTTTCAGCGGCGTCCTCTGCACAGCTTTCTATTCCTTCAATCACGAAACGAAGATTTGCACTCGTGTAGGCTCTTGTAAATGCATGCAGACACCCTCGCTACCACAAGTTGGTGCAAGGATCGAAGCGCCCTGACGTTGCTCGTCACGATCTTGACTGTGGAAACCATGGAGCGCTCGCTGAGGCCTAAGAGAATCTCCTGCCGGTTTGAGTCTTAACAAGGGTCCCGAGAGGGCCAAGTGACCGTGCGGAGAGAAAACAATACACCACTGCTCGACATCACTCCAGTTTGGAGCATGCGCACGCCAACAGGACAGTGGAAGCGCACGACGAGGTGCTGTCTGTGGACTCGGCCAGAAATTCAACCATCTGGCCTGGGGATACAGGCCTGTAGATATCCAGTAGGTGTCTTCTCGCCCATCGATGATGTTGTCACCCTTAGCGCTCAACGCCAACGATCAGCACAAAGAGCAGACTCAGGGACTCTGCCTGCTCTCCAAGGACTTCTCAGCTAGCCACAGGATGACCCTCGTCGAGCGAGGACACCATGACAACCTTGGCGACAGCTCATGCAGAAGCCACAGAAGATGCAATGCACCAGCAGGGGAGCCGAATGAAGCCGTGCTGACCTAGGGGTACATTGGCACATGCCCTCACCTCTAACTTGATATACATACGATTACGATTGTGAGACCATTGCTTTTCTTTTCCACTCAGTGGTAAAACGATTCTGGCGCAGCAACCCTGCCACCAACTTTCTTCCCCACCAGGTCCGGCATTGACCTCATCACAGTGTCTGATCAAGTTCACAGCTTTGCCATCTCCTCAAGTCCAAGGCAATGGCGGATGGCTATCGGTGAGACTCAGGGCCAGTGGTTGGCGAAGCTGTGGTGCTTGAATTGAACCGACATGATTGCGGCCAGCACACGGCAGGCAACGACATCTTTGTCCTTCGTTTGCATCCCTAACGCTTACACTCGCGACAACGTATTCAATCAACATCATGTGACAGCTCGTTGCCCTTTTTGTTCATGGTCCCAATGCTCCAGCCTTGCGCTTTAAGGCCTCAGTTCATGAGGGGTTCAAGTTTGGACGTGCGCTTTGAGCTTGTCGGGGTGTGTCCCTCAAACTCAACAAGGAAAGACGAACTTTGAGACGCACACTATGAGCTTTCCAAAGTGCGTCCAGCAAAGTCGACAAAGAAGGACGAGCTTTTGAGGCGTACGCTTTGAGCTTTTCGGGGTGTGTCCAGCAAAGTCGACAAAGAAGGAATACCCGCCGCCCGCTGGGTGCACGTGAAGCGGATGCAAAGCATGCAACCTGCAAAGCCTGCAGCCGGCTCGCAGGACGAGCAGTCTGGTAAAAGGCCCTTCCTACCCGCCCACCCCGAAAACCCATACTTGGCAAGTATGGATAGCAACTCAGTCGTGACCCTATTCGGCGGGGCAGGAAGTGGCACCCTTGCAAAGGAGCACGGAGCACATAACGGAGCATCGCAGTACGGAGCAGAGGCGTGGGCACCCGATGTGCCCGCACCTGACCGGCCACCACCCTCCTGCACATGTGATTCCTTACAGTTCATGCAGTCTAGTATGTATACAAATACAAATTCGACAACAAGTGGAAGAAGCAACAACATCTGTGAGCAACAACAGCGACAACAAAGGCTCTTTGGGCTTCTGGACCCCTCGTTGGCGGATGTACTGCGGATTCTACGGAATCTATGGCTTCACACACCCCGCAGCTGAGGCACGCGGGCAGCCGGCGTGGGGGCGACGTCGAACCTCCCAGCAGCTGGCCGGAAGCGGAGCTCGTATCCTGTCCTCAGTGCAAACAAACACATGAGGGAACAAATGAGGACTAAGCTAAGCGCTGCAAAGCAAAAAACAAGATCGTGGATGTGGAATGCCGTCGGCAACGGACATTGAACAGTTTTGACAGGGCCCGAGCCGTCATGCACCACATTGTGTGTAAGCCCAACTAGAGCTGGCAGGACGCTGCTGGAAGCTGCAGAAGCCAAGCAAGCTTTCTGGCTGCAATTTTGAGACGCGGAGCGAGTGGACTCACGTTTTCAAGCTAGTGAGAGGCACCTTGAAGAGATTGCACTGACGGGACGCTGACTTCTTGGGACTTGCGCTGTTGAAAGTTTCACCAGTTGCACGTTATCGTCCTCGCGTTCCGGGACCAACTGAGGGCGGATGTAAAGAGTTTATAGGCAAGGCTTAGGGGCACAAGGGTTTAGGTAGGACCTTGGGGTCTCCTAGACCTTTTGAGTGGAGCGGAGAGCGGAGTGGAGTGGAGTGGAGGGGCGACCAAGCCTCTAGCTTGGGAACCCTTTGTGGGATCCTTAGGGGGACGACAGTGTGGGCAACGAAAAGGTTCAACAAATGTCCACCAAAGCTTGGGTGAAGCCTTCCTCCGCATCGAGTTGGTAGCCAGCACTCTGCATTCTCTCGGCTTCACCTTCGACCCCAAATCCCCACTCATCGCCACTCATCCCCACTCACCCCTCTGCCAATCAAGCCGGGACGGGGTCGTCGACGCGCAGCGTTTACAATCAGGCTGTGCACATTCGCGCTCAGCACAGGCCAAACATGATAAACCTAACGTTGCCCATGCTGCCCAGGGTCTGTGCAAACCAGGGATGCCTGTCTGGCAAGGATTGAGACGCAGCTTGGCATGTGAAAAGACGACTTTTTATTGGTGCACTCATGCTGTGGCCTGGCCAACTGCACAGCGAAGGCCTGCACATGTCTTGGGATGCATCCTGCGACGTCGTGTGACAGACAAGGCCACCTGCTTTGCTTTGCCGTCGTCCCCCAGACTCTTTGCCGTTTCATCCAAGTACGCCTTCACCTGCAGCGGACTGCAATGTCGACAAGGGACCCGTGCAGATTGGCCCGTTGCCGAGCGGCATTGGCGACGAGCTCTTCCTCTGAGCCCATGTGCTTCTGCAGAATCTTGTTCAACGCAGCGAACACCGGCGAAGACTGCAGAAAACGTGCTGACTACGTGTGGCTGCACCGATTGTCAACATTCGAAGTGTAGCTGCGCATGGCCGCACCGCACCTCATCCACCAGGTTTGTGAATTTTGCGGCAGCCGTCGGAGTGTTGGGAGCACCCTCAGGAGGGGCAGCTGCAAAGGCATGCCTTGGCAGCTAGCTTTGCAGCCAAGTTGATGCTGCAACAGTGTGCTGCAAACCTGCCTCTGCCGGATACTGCTGACAAGTGCCACCGAGCAACGGGCTGAGGCCACACGGCTGCATTGGCTGTGGTGCTGGGGACCACATAGCAGCCATTGCGTCTTGCGGCTGCAGAGACTCAAGCTGTGGCCCGAGCTGCCCCATCTGCCCCATCTGCCCCATCTGCCCAAGCTGCCCAAGCTGCAGCCCCTGCTGCACAGCAGGCAGTGGCTGCACAGGCTGATGCGTTTGCCAGGCTGATGGCCCAGAGAGCTCCCAGCTGCTCAGGCAAGGCCCAGGCGTGATGCCTCGCAACTCGAAATCTCCACACATCTCTCCCTGCCCACCTACGCACAAGCCACACCCACACCCGCGGCCTTCTGGAAGAAGTGAAACTTGGGGAGCTTGAGGCGATTGCGTGTCCGGCTGCGCCGCCACGAAAGGCTGAAACTGAACCTTCCAGCTGCGGAATAGCAACAGGACAGTTCTGCAACAGCAGTTCTGCAACAAGTCAGTTCTCAACTGCGCAGTGGAAGCCGAGCTCCCCACGGGCAAGTTGCACTTGAAAGCGGCCGGGAGCGACGGGATGTTAGGGGCAACTGCCTGAGTGTCTTTGTCTGTGGGGAACCACAAGACATCTCATCGCACAAGGGGCGCTCCTTCTGCAGTTCCTCCTGCTCTTCTGCGGGCCACTCTTCCCGCGGAGGGCGTGGATGGTCGCAAGTTTTGCCTGACAGCAACGATTACAGCATATTGCAATGCATTCAAGCATCCTTCCTTCCCATACCGAGTGGCCATCCAACTGCCATCAAGTTGCACGTTTTGTTCCTGCCAAAATTCATGTAGCCACAGCCTGTGCTTGAGTCATGTAAAGCTGTTGAACATGTCAACATTGGGAACTGGATGCTCTTGCCCAATTGCTACTTCATGATGCGACCGACCGAGCAGGTGAATGAATGTGAATGGGCAAAAAAGGTGCTGGGCCCTGACGGTAATGCTGCTGGCTTGCTTTTGCAATTCCAATCTGGTGGTGGTCCCTTGCGCCAGTTCTCCAGCCAACGCCGTTTCTTCTCCAGGCGCCGCTGACCTTGCCAATCAATACGATGCTAGTGACTGAATGCGTTTCAATTTCGGGCTTGGCCAGCGTCTGCATGCAAACTCGGGAAAGCTAACTGATGCTGAGTTCTTCCTGGTGGTCGGAGGGTCCGGAGGGCTCGGGGGTTGAGGAGGGTGCAAGTGGAGTGAGGACGGTGTCTGGCCAAGGCAACTTGGCAAGAGACCTTCGAGAGTCTAGCTTGTGGCACCATGTCGGCTTGCAAGCAGCTTACATCAACGCTGCAGGCAAGCAACTGGTTTCCTCTGCCTGGCTGCGCGGCCCTCAAGCTTGGACTAAGGGTCAGGACGTTCACGGCGACTCATTGCAACCCGACTGCAAGTAAGACGTTGTGGAGACTTCAAGGTGCACCCCTGCTAGCCCCTGCGTATGGGCTCCACACTTGCACGCGAAGCAATTCTGCGGCCTTCTCTTCTCGGGGATCTTTGACCGCCGCCCGAAGATACTTCATCTTCCTCACGCGTGAAAACACCACACATGCAAGTGCATGCATGCGTGACACCAAAATGAAGTTGCTCTCCCAATCCCTGTCCTTGCCCTGACCTGGTCTCCTGAAACAGGTGCTCACAACCTAGATTTGCTCGTTTGAGCGTACGGGCACCCGTCCAAGCTGCTAAGGAATGCAGTGAGCTCTTGTCCTCTTGTTGTGTTGATGTAAAGCTCAAACTCCACAACATCATCCTTGCCAAACTCCAGGTCCTGCACTGTAAGGAAGTGAGCATGAGCATGTGCGACTCAACAGCTCTGCGAGAACAACGCCGCTCCAGCATCTCGGGGTTGTCCACAATATGCCAGAAGACGGTGCCTTTGAAATAATCGGAGACCACAAAGCCCCAGTTCCTGGGAGAAGAACGCTGTTCCGCAGATCCGTGCAGTGAATGCATGTGCAAGCCCAAACGCCGAATCTAGCGGTTACCAGGCTGCCCGACACAAGGTTCATAAGAGGAGAAATTCCACACAAAGTCCCCAGGTCTAACAAAAGAGATCCATTCTCATCATTCTCTGCCGTTTCGTAATTGCAGAGTTTCTGGGCCCAAGTGTTAGCATGTCTTTCAAAAGATTTCGGTGAACTGGGTACTGTCTTTCTTTGAGCAACCCTTGGGGCTTATGGAAGGCGCTTGCAAGAGGCCTTTCGTCTGCCAGTCAGATCGCAGCTTGTTTGCAAAGGTCACTCGAAGCGGTGACGAGACAACAGCCGCAATGACAAACACTGTCAAACACCCTGCAATCCCTACCCTGAACCAAAACAAAGAGTGTCCTTCACCTCCAATTGAACCAAGGATCTGTGCCTTCACCAACTGCCAACTGCAGCTGACTCGCCTCAGTGCAACTCAAACGCCAAAGTCTAGAGCATCGGGCACATGATGTCGATGATACCGGAAAGTGCAGGCGGCACACGAAGGCTGAGGCTGAGGCCCCTCCAGCGTCTGACCCAGCACCTCTTTCGGCGCTGGCTTCCATGCCTCAGAGCGGCACTTCTTGAGCACAGATCGTCTCACTCGATCATGGTGTTCGCTCCACTTTTCCGGGGCATTGCATGCATTTGCGCATTTGCACCTCGTCGGGGTCGTCCTGCGGCATGGTTGGCAGGAGCAGCTTCACAGCCTCGCAGCGGCCATTGAACTCCACCACCTCGAAGGACACGGGGTCCTCAGATCGCAGAAGGTAAAATTAGGTAAAACCGAGCTTGATCTGCGCACCAGCTTGGAGAGATGTCGTCAAGGAGCCCTCTTGCTATACCTGACTCCGCGCAGCGAAGGACTCCGCTGGAGGTGGAAGAAAAGGTGGCCCTCGAAACCTGATGAACCACCAGCACCACCAGGCTCAAGTCAGGTGATCGCACGGCATCCGGCGGCACTTGCCAAGGAACTGTAGGACTCCACATGCCCCCATCCTGCACGAATCTGCAAGATCCAACGTGGCAATACCTTGCTATGCCATAATACATGGCCACACAATGTCTGTCCACCCTGTCCTTTCTTCTCATTGTCGAATGAAGAAGTGCAAAACCATCCCTGCAGGGCGGGACACGTTCAAAGGATGCTTGCGGTGACTTGTGGCTGCTGCTCAGCGCTCAGCATATGGCCTCCACTCGCCCGGCGCCAATGCAATTCTCGAAGGCTGAAACTTCTTCTTGCATGACTGAGCGCCATCCACTCAGGGCACCACCTACGGATACTGTCACGCTGATCTAAACGGTCTGCACCATCCAGATCTCGTCAGCCTTTGCCTTGCAATCTTGCATCTACGCCCTCGCACATACAGACATGTACAACTACATAAATACTAGTTTGGGCTGAGTAGATAGTCAGAGCGTGGAGTGGCTTAGGTTCCATGTGACAATTCTTGGCTGCACTCAGGTGTTTTGTGCATGGCCAACGCAAGAACTGCAACAAATGGCCCGCAGAAGCACGGGACCATACCAGCAACGTGCACCAAACAAACGGCATGCTCTTAAGCAAAAAGGCATCAACACATCTTTGTCTTGTAATGGCACGAAGCGCCGGCGATTTGCAACCGATGGCTTGCCACTGTTGCGAAGCCGTGCTCTCAATTATAAGCTGACAGATATGTCTACAGCTTGTCAGCCATGCACAAAGTGAATTTGAAGTAAACCTTGGGCGAATCCGCAAAGCGAATTGGCAGATGGCCAGTGCTGAACAGGTGCCACGTACGAAAAAAACCTACGAATCCACGAATCATTCAACCGAGTTCACAGTTCAGTTCACCAGCCTGCCTGAACAATCGGAAAACGGCGTTCCCAAGCAAAAGGAACTGACTGCTTCTTGCCTGCCTTTTGCCCGTGAGGATGTCGACTACGCCGGCGTCGTTACACATATGCATACTTACGATGTATCCCGCCTGCTGGGATCCAAGATAAGGTCATCGGAGGGCCGACCGGCATGTTGGTCCTGCGCATGGCACGCATTGCCAGCGGGAAGAGGCTTAGGGCTCATCAGGGTTAGTGTTCTGTAGGGGGCTTCAAACACGTGCAAACGTTATCCCAATCTGGCTGGTTCGCCCAAGGCAGTTCAGCAAAAAGGCTTTGTTCCCCACCCTCGGTGTGGGGTTGTTAGATTTTAAACTCAACTCTTCTCCTCGCTCCGGAACTCTTCTCCTCGCCCGGTCTACTCCGTGTCCCTGAGTGCCCAAACCCAGAGCCCAACCCCAGAATTTCCCCGGAGTGCCCAGCCCCAGAGTCTCCCAGCCCAGCCACAGAGTGTATCTGGGGTGCCCAACCCCAGAGCATCTCTACCAAGAGAGGGTGGGGATGTTCGAAGTAAAATAACTTTCGAGTGGCATTTTAAAGGCACCGGGACGTCGGACCTCTTGAAACCCAACTTTCCACTTGTGCCTCCTGCCAACTGCCAATCATTCTTTATAGAGCCACTGCAAAGCAAACGCACGGCATGGCATGACAAGCCGCCACAAGCTCTGCCTGGGAAGCGGCCCTGTTGTTCCAACACTGCACACGCCAGGACAGCGGCACGGGGAGCTGCTGCGACTGCGCTCGGCCGCCCACGAGTTCCACCTTACAATTCAGAGTCGTCGCGCGCGGCTCACGTCTCAAGACTCTTGAATGCTGGAAGGAGACGGTGGGATCGGCACCGGTGAATACGATGGCCTCGATTGCCAAACACCACTGGAATACCGAAAGTCCCCATGTTCGGCACGTTCGGGTGCTTGGGTCTGGGCACAGCGACTTGCGAATGACGTGGATGGAGTGCTAGCGGAAGTGGCACGACTCCAGCTGGAACCTTTTCACAGGGCACCAGCGTGATCATGCTTGCACCTAAAAACCATAAACCCTCACAGCTAGGAAAAGAGCCGAACAGAGGAAAAAAGATGAAAAAAGTATGGCATGCAAGGTCTCCCCCCGCCTGGTTTATGCCAGGGCACAGGTTCGGCAGGACTGTCGGAACGGGTCTCACAGTGTTCGGAGTGTTCGGCCGTGCTTCGGGCCATGCCCGCCAGAAAGGCGATGGACCGGGCCAGGGCCCGCACCCGCAGGGCTCGCAGGGCCCGCAGGGCCCGCAGGGCCCGCCAGAGGCTGGTTGCCGCATGTCGCAACTCCGAGGCCTGGCTGGATGCATCGCAGGAGGGAAGGGGCTGATGCTGCCGATGCTGCCGATGCTGCCCATGCCTCCGAGCATGCCCTGATTCTCCCGCCATGGACTTGGAGATCGCGAATGGGGCCTGTAGGGAACCGCAGCTGGATTGTGCCTCTGCTCGAGACCAGGCAGCGAATGTCTGGGCACCTGTCTCGCATCGGTGCTAAAATGCGCTGCCGGAGGTGCCATTTGCGAGCCATGGGTGCTGGACAGAGAGAGACCGGACAGATTGCCGATGGCTGACGGCCTCCGGATCGGAGCTGCGTTCTCAGGACTCTGGATCCTGCCTGCACTAGAGATGGCAGGCTGAGCGCGAACTCCCGGCTCTGATGGTCCTGGTGGCGCTGGGCCAGCTGGGTGCTGGGCACGGCAGCGAAGCGGAGTTGGAATCGCCTGAATTGCTTGAAAGGCTTGAAGTGTCGGCATGGCGGGCCCGGCACAGGCATCCTCTTTGTCTCGCAAATCGCGTGCTGACAGGACCGACTTGATTGGCACAGGCCGAGCCGCTTCGCCCTCGCAGCGATCGGCCTCTGGAGCTTCCCGAGCTTCCCGAGCTTCCCCGACTTCGGGATCGTGGCTGTGAACCACAACAGCGGACCATGGTGACCAGGCCAGGGCATCGACAATGGGAGAGGCTGCGGTCTCGACCTCGATCGCTGTCCCTGTCGCTTCAGCCTCTGAAGCTTCGGATTCACGGCCGCGAGGGATGGGAGGCCCGGCTCCATTCCGCGGCTGTGGTCGCGTCTTCGCAGCCTGGTGAATAATGCGCACGAGCTGGAGAAAGTCGTAGATCTCGCTGTCCCGCTCCTTTTGCCACTTGAGAGGCAGCAAAGTCACAAGCGCCGGTGCCTCCGGCAATGCCTTGGGCTGCCGGGGCTGCAGCCAGGGAAGGAGTAGTTGGGTGAGAGGCCCGAGTGGCGTGTCCCTCGGGAGTCCGGCACATACTGACCGTGCGGTAGATCGCAGCTCTTGAAGGCTTCTGGCGATGCTCTCGGTCGCGTGATTTTGCAAACCTGCAGGAGCAGCCACATCCACAAAGGCCAAGATGGCCTCGTTGGCATCTCGACCATCTCGACCATCTCGACCATCTCGACCACTTTGTGAAACTTGTGAAATATGAAGCTGGAAGAAGACGTGTCCTCTTGAAGTCTCTGGGTTGGCTGGCAGCCTCTCAAAGTGTCGACGTGAATCACCTTCGAAAAGGAGGTTGTAGGCCTCGCTCTCGGTCTTCACACACTGACGCAGAAGTCCCACCAGCTGTGCCCCATCACTGCCTTCTGACAACCTGACAGGCCGCTTGCTTGCGCAGAGCAAGTCAATGATGCTGTCCCGGTAAAGCTCCTGTGCGATGGACGGTAGCAGGAAGGCAGTCTACTTCCTCAAACAAAAAACGCTTCGGACTCAAAGGCGAAAAATGGGATCCATGGCCGAGCTGCAAAGAAGGAGACCTGGACCCGGTAGTCCGTGCGGTTCGGGCGCGCGCTGAGCATCTCGAAGAGGGCTGAAATCGAGCGTGGGACGAGGCCTCGATCCTCGAAGCGCCGTGGTCCCCCGGTCAGCGCGAACGTCTTCCCAGAGCCGCTGGCACCCAGCGCCAGAAAGCAGCAGCTGCTCGCGTGCTCCAGCGCCTCCTCCCGAATTCTCAACCAATCGCTTCAAGAAAAGACCATCGTGTGGAACCCCTTCCCCCCTGTTTCTCCCAAATGTAAGGGCTCAGAGCTGCGACTTAACACCCCCCCAACCCCATTTACTGAAGCACGCAAGCTTGGCAAGAATCTATCTTGATGCCGCTGCTGTATCAAAGCAGGTTCCCTTGAAGCAACCAGTTTTGAACCCCGCAACCTGCCCACACCCAAAAACCTCAGCTTCCTCTGAACCAATCAATCGTGACGACAGAATGAATGGCTCGTTATACCGTGCGTGCCTGGACAGCCACCTGTGCAACCTCCTGGAAGATCCGGGCTTGGTTCTGGTGCTGGAAGACTCGGTCGAAAGCGAAGTCTCGAAGGACATCCTCCGCCTTCGGATCAAAAAAGACCAGGGGAGCAGCAAACTTGGCAGGTATCAGGTGCCTGTCGCTCTTGCGTTGTCTCCGACTCCTCACCTTGCATTTTCTTGCATGGGCACACTGACTGGCATGCTACGCTACTTCCACAGCATTGCATCCAAGGGGACCTATTCCAGGCAGCTTCATCCGGACCTTAACCATCCAGGCATCCACTACATTGCGACTGATGCAGCTCAGTAGCTGCCGCCAGTGGACTGAAGTTTGGCTGAAGCTGATCTCTGGACACTGCTCAGATTCGGGATGGACCACGCAAAAGCAGCGGGCCTCTCAGTTCTGCGCCAAGCACTTCGCATCGCAAGGCACATGCCATGCTGCAGCGCAATGTTTCATCATCTTTGGCCTTGACCCTGCCAATCATGCTGCAGCTCCCACAAGCCATGGCGCTCGACTATTGAGGTCCCATGGCTCTCGAGCACCTGCAAAGGACCTATCAAGTGCATGCAAGATCACGGCATGGAATGCTGCCAACACCTACTTGGCCTTCAAACGGCCCTCTCATGCAGCCCTTTTGTTCACGAACCCCAACGCAGCACATCCTACGGAGTTTTCACTCCAATCTGCCATGGCCCACGGTCACCGTATGTTTCATTCTTAGCAATGTGCGGAATGTGGCATTGTTCTGAGTGGGCAGCAGGAAAAGAAACTTGAAAATTGGTCTGGGCTTAAAGCCCTCATCTGGAGGTGGGACTTGCGAAGAGCTTTGAAACCGGCATGTTCTCGCGTGCCCAGCCGCCTTGGGCACCTGGGCAGACTCAGGCCGACTCAGGCCACGTAGATGCGCTTGAAGACCAGCTCAATCTCGCCTCAGCATCAGCAAACCTTCAGGTCTCTTCCGGCCTCTTCTGTCAGTTTTTTCTGTACGGACCCTCAGCATCCACCAGGTACTGCAAGGCATCCTCGTAAGGCTTGTCCTCCACCTCACGGCCCCCGAACATTGGGGATGTTGCAACAAACGAGTGGAAAAAAGAGAGAGCTGTCTTTTGCTGTCTCTGAACTTTGCAGATTTTGCCATGCGATACCATGGCGGGGCACGTCGACGCCATTCACAGAGGCGAGGAAGTCACCACTCTCGACCTGCCCGATTTTTCAGCAGAGAGCGACTCACAGGCCGTGTGCCGACATACTGCCGACCATATGGCAAAATCGGTGCGCGCCTCGCCATCCTTGAAGGCGGAGCCTTCCTCTAGCACGCGAAGGACCCAAACTCTGTTGGGATCGTTCTCGCCTTGGGAAATTGGGGAAGCCCGAGCCCCCCCAAGGTCTGAGCTCGCAAAGATGTGAGGCCATATGTGAGGCAGGCGACGTTCTTCGAACTCGATGCCTAACGGCTTCTGAAGCGTGACCTCTGCAAGACTCTCATGTTGCACGCAAAATTCCACGGTCTGCCCCGCGCTGCTCTCCCCGCTTGCTTTCGACATCCCGTGCCAGACCCTGTGCAGACATCCGAGAACACTTCCAACTGCGAACCCGTGCTCTGCTTGCAATCGCCAGCGTCAAAGCTAAAGATGTGCTGCCGGCTGAAGCTTCGCTGAGCCAAAGATCAGCTTCATCCATCCTCACTCTATACTAACCTCCTGTCGGAGACGTCACAGCTTAAGCTCTGTTGTGCTCTGCCTGATGTTTTTCGTCTTGCTCCAGGGTGTGCCCTTGTTTTGCTCCGCAACGGGCTTTCGGATGCCTCGGGCTGGAGCAATTCAGCCGCCGGAGCCACAGCCACGTTGTCTAGATTTCTGTTCGCGCATGCTAGCAGTTGCCTGGGGCCCTGTGCTTTGCACAACTGCCTCTTGCTCCATGGGCGTGGTTGCAACATGATGCGACGTTGAACCCCGTAACCTCCCTTGCCCTCTCTTCCATAGCAGTGCTCCAGTAGTGCCAGGTCTTCTTTCATTGCTGGCAGTTGCCACTTGCCAGATGCAAAGCTCCTTGCTTGAGGCTTGAGGCTTCGGGCTTTAGAGCCCAGGTCCTTTCTCAAGACCTCATGATAGCTCAACTGGGCGTTTGAAGTTGCTGACTTCTGTGTCCTGGATAGCTGCTTGTTTGTCAGGTGTTCCAGCACCCGTGCTGTTGACAGAGTGTCTGCCCCACTCACAGCTCATCGTCTGGCATTCAGCACGGCTTGGTTAGCTAGCACCTGCTTCCAAGCAACATGATGTAAGAACCTTTGGAATCGAACTTGGAGAAAACTGTGCTGTGTTTCGGAAACGCAAAATGCCCATGAATGCGGTTGTGTTGCCTTGATGTCGATGGTGGTCATGTCTCTGGCGCCCACCTATCGCAAAAAAAGGGTGTCTTTAACGGAGTCTAACACGTGGTCGAACAAGGCGAAGCCGGGGCGCTGGGGCCGTTGCACCGTGCTGGGCCGAGCCTCGTTGACGCCTTTTCTCTGCGCCGCGTTCCACATGGCCATCTGCGCAAGATCGGCGCTTTCGAGCCCACTTTGGAGTGCGGCAAAGGCCAAACTGCCAAACTCCCCCACCTTGCGCAGCCGCACTTTCCTTTCATAGGCCGACTCCTTGTAGTCCGGCGACTGCTTCCTCTCGCTGATCATGCTTTGGCCCATGGATGTGACCCCAACAAAGCCCTCCCCACGCCCTCACATGATCTCACTCTTCCAGAAAAGTCTTCGGGCGCCCCATCGCCTCTTTCGCGCATTGATCCGCTCGATTTGTCGCTGGAACGCCTCCTCCGTCACCGATCTCATGCTTCACTATGCTTCACTATGCTTCACTGCTTCACATCCTACTCAATCACTACTTTTCAGACACAATCTTAAACATAGCTGAGGAGGCGACGTCCTTCCAATCAGGCCTGACGGTCAGAGGAACTGTTCTCGCATCTTCGCAGATTGGCAAAGAAAGGCGCAGCAGCAGATGGCTTTTGGCCGAGCAGCTCTGGAGCCGGCTCTTCCGCCTTTTTCCCCTTGGGCAAACCCGGATGCTGCACAACAAGCATCAACAAGCTAGACATTCTGGGAGCATGCTTCAAATATCTTCAATGTGCTTCACAACGCCCTGTCGGAGCCTGCGGATATGTGCATACGCTGCAAGTTCTCAGGCTGAGAAGTCTTTTTGAGGTCTTGTTAAGTCTTGTGAAGTCTTTTGCAACATCTGTTGAGGTGCTGGCGTCCATTGGTCCGAGGAAGCCTCGCTGTGCCTGAATGCTTCCACATTCGCGGAGATTAAGGCTGCTTTGTCAGAAGCTGTTTTGTCAGAGGCTGTTGTCAGAGGCTTGAGGCCTGGTACATGACTTCGACGATCAAAGCCCTGAGCACCACTGAGCGCGATTGGGGTGCAAGGGACGAGTCCGTGGCACGTCATCACAGCAAGTTGCCCGGCAAAGCCAATAAGGCTCGGGCACAGCACCGAGCAGAGAGACCATCAGAAGGGGGCGATTTGCGGACCTCTCAAACGACATAAGCGCTCAGTATGCTGAGTAAGAGCCTGCTTCAAACACCGCAACGAAGATCGCAACTTGCAGCCATGCCTGGCAGCCATCTTCGCCCTGCCAGGCCTTAAGACGGTCAAGCTGCTCACGTCCCCGAAAACATTACTAGAAAGGATTGAAGAACCTCCTTGTCAAGTTAATCCCCCCTCCAAAGCAACTCCAAGCGACATGTCGAAGGACCGGGGGGGAAACCCTTGGCCCAGGCTCTCTGCTCTGCCCTTGAACTGCAGAGGCTGCAGAACCAACTCCTACGCAAAACGAGCCAGCTCCTACGGTTGAGGGTGCACAAAACACCGCGGACTGCGAGCGCAGTCGCAGGCGCAGGACCTCAGGAATCGGAGAGAAGAACCGTTGAGGATGAGGGACCTTTTGGGGCAATCCTTCCCCAAGATGTCCAATCTCTTGGATATGCCAACAGAGAGTCGTTCGTGCATCTTTTTGATGAGATGCGCCAGCTTGCCGTAGAAACTCATGTCCTATCATATATCCGTCCGTATATATCTCGACCGCAGTGCTCGCCACATTCATCGCTCCTAGGTCCGGGCGCCTGCTCCAGCAGGTGTTGTCGACCCGTGCACACGGTGGACAAGCGTGAGAGCAACAAAATTCACAACAATCTGTCGGTCATTGTCATCTTTGCGTAGGCGGCCCACGCCGCTCCCCGATCAACACACATGCTAAGGATCAACTGAACTTAGGAGCAGGGGCCCGAAATGGCACGGAGCGGCACCTTTGCCGACTCCTGGGAACAGCCAAGCATTGCCTAGCAGCCCGAATTGCTCAAAGTAAGCCATAGTCTCAAAGCCGGTGGTTTCTTCCGACGCCTTATGGCGCCCTGGCGCGGTCTGCTACCGCCATCGCCAAGAAGCCAAAGACCTGGGCCTCTCAAAAATCACAACTCCAAGAGTGGGCCTCGCAAACACGTCTGGCGTCAGGTCTTCGATGGGCGCACATTGGCGGTGACCACTGCAAGTCAAAAGTATTCAATCAATAGGTTGCTGTGCCACTGGTCGTGCACGCTGGTACTGCATGGTTGAAAGTTTTCAAAGGTGTGACGGCAACTACGAAACAAGTTGTCGGCCCTTCTGGGGGGGGGTGGTTGCAGCCCGGACAGGGCAGGTTCTATGCCGCTGCCAGAGACCACAAGCCCAATGTGCTGCAGGAGTCCTGCTGCAGCACCCTACGGTGAATCAAAGGCCTCGTCACATGTCAGCTTCGCAGTCAAAGACTTGGGCAGCACTTTGACTGCGTGGATCAAAATGGACACTTGCCTTCTGACAAGTTTTCCAGATCTGTCGTAAATGAAGCCATGCATGGGCTTCTCGTTGGAAGAGGTGCTACTCCCTCCCTTTTGCCTTCCGAATCGGTTTCTCAGGCTCTTATCTTCAACTGTGGTCCAAACAGTCCGCACGTCCCTGGCTTTGCTTGTCTTGCCATCAGCCGCACGATGCAGTTGCTGCGCAGCTTCTGGCAGAAGTATGTGAACTCCCTCGACTTTGGCTCTCCTATGCAGTTCATGACCATATAAAGATGCCCGTTAGTTCGTTATTTGTGTTTGTTTGCATGGACTGATGGACACACTGTGGTCAACAGCCAACTGCTCCGCAAAAGTGCTGCCTCCAACACAACACCAAATCGATTGCAAATATGTAGGCTGATCATGGCTAATCACGGCTATCCCGTCGACCACGACTGTGAATTATGAAAAACAACCCGCATCTGCAATCCACCAGAGGGTCCTCTGACGGGTCCGAAAAAGCAAACGGCAACAATACTCTCTTGATCCATTGCTTAAAGGCATGGACAATTTGGCCTTACTAACTGACAGGTTCACCTGTTGCTTGAGCATCTGCGGGTGAGAACTTTGCTGCGCCGGAGAAGTCTTCCTAAATGCAGTAGCAGAAGACTTCATCACAGATTCGAGTGCATGCTGCAAAGCCGCAAGGGTGGCATCCCGCGCGAACTCCTGACATTGCAATTCCCCCTCTCAACTCGCCCCTTGAGGTAGAGGGGCTCAATGTGATCAATATGGCTCAGAACAATCCATAAGGAGGCAAAAGGCTCTGGCCAGAGATGCCAAGCTTGCCACCCAGTCTAATGCTGAGGCAGGACAAGCGAAATGCCCCAGCACCGGGAAAGCCCCAAAACCGGGTGAAACAGCATAGAACTCTCTGCTGAACGACCACATGCTGCCACCATCATCAACAACTGTTTCGTCCACGAGTTATCGAAAGACGTGATGAGGATATGAAGGATCTTCATCGGTCAGCATACGCCATGTCTAACAAGTAACAACCGGCCGAAACAAACACGTCAGCGGCGCGTGGCAGATGTGGCAGCTAGTCGAAAAAGCACTTCCCCAGCCTGGATCTGAACTACTACCAATCAAGAACCAGCTCTTGAGGCCATACATCGCCGTGTGTCTCGTCAGGCGGCAGCTTTACAAAGGAGGCGAAAAATCCTGGGGCAGATCTGCGAGAAACACAAGCATCAACGTTCCCAGCCCAGCACTACCACCCTTGCCTCTTGAACGTCTTTGGGCACACATCGAGGTTCCAATTGAGCAGCTCCAAAAATCGAGCCTGAACCACGCAGCATAAATCAAGCCCCTGAGCATCTCTTCCGAAAACATTCGGGTTCAGGGGATACTAGGCCAATGTCGCAAGGCGCGCTTGCCAATTTTCTTGTCTTGCCGAGCTTGCTCAGTCAGGAAATCACATGAAAGCTCTGAGCGTCTGCGCGCTGCAACATAGGGCAAAGCTGTCGTGGACTGACCCCATTTCCGGAATCTTCAGGAGTGTTCAGATTCATTGTCGGATGTTCAGGGGCTGACCTACAGATCCGTTATTTTCACGAGTGCCTAAATTCATGTTCAGCAACCGGGATCATTTTCAGGAGTGTAAAGATTCATTGTCAGGAGCGCACTCCTGGATACTAACCGTTACTAACCCAGAGCTGCAAACACATCCCTGCAAATGCAGAACATGATCTGCACACCCTGAAGATGTTCTCTTGAACTCCATGAATCCCGGCATTCCTGAAAACCAAGAGGAGCTGGAAATGAACCACCACTTGAGAACACGAATTCCTGCTCTCCTGAATCCGAATCATGGGCGCATCTGAACTCTTTTTTTCAAATCGAGAAGGCGATTCCGACGGCCAGCATTGGATGAAAGTCTCGGAGAAGAGTCACCACTTGGTCCATCCGTAAACCGCAGCCAGCGCAATCCTGATTGCCGGGACGCACGCAGTCCCCGGGAACCCATCTCGCCGTTCTGCATCTTCTGGGGCTCGTGAGCGTCCAAAAATCTAGTGGCCTGCTCCGTCCGCCATGGGCTGGGAGTGCTGCCTTCCATTCGATGCCATCGGCCATCGCAGCAGGGCGAAAAGCACGGAACTGCGATGCGCACCGAGCGACTTTGACTTCAAAAGTCGAACTTGAAGCTGCGGGCTTTTTCGGTAGGATGTTGAGCCAATCAATGGTGGAGGATAAAGCAAACAAACCAAAACAAGACAGAAACGACAGAGAGAAGAAGCAACAAGAGTGAGAGAGAGAGAGAGGAAAAAAGAAAGCTTTTAAAATGATCTTCCCTCCGGAGAATGTCTCTGAGTTGCCTCAAGCTTGTTCAGATCCGGTACGCTCACGCCGGCGGCCTCACTTGGGTACACTGTGAGATTCTTGCTTCCGAAAGCGGCTGCATGCTCTGGCACAAGTACACAACCATTGTTGGGCACCACCAAACGAGAGCGAGACATGCGCATAGAATGTGTTGTCGTACATGTACAACTGTTGCTGCCTGGCAGAAGAACCCTAAGGACCCGCTTTGGGCAACAAGGACATGCGAGGGCCTTCCACGAGGTGAGCCATGGATTAAACAAGGATTAAAGAAGCGGTCAACAGCAAAAAGGTGCCAGCTGCACTTCGCCGCAGTGGTCACAGCCTCGGCTTGTCAGGGTTCCCTCATACTCTCAGGGTACTCTCAGGCTTCCCCGTTGGGGCTCAGGCCGCCAGGAGAAGACGATGAATCGTCTGCGTGTTGACTTCCACCTGTTGCATGTTCATGTTCTCTGCTCCGTCTAAAGATGGCCGAATGCCTCGGGTCCTTGCAACTTTTA